GAGAGTCTGGGCCCGGGGGCTGCAGCCCAGAGTCCAGCCTCGGCAGCCTTCGCCGAGGAGCCAGGGATCGCGCTGTCAGTGCAAAACCGCGGGTCCTGAAGCTGCGGCCGCCGGTGCTACTTCCAACCCCGGGCGCGCGGGACCTCGGAGCCGCCACCACCGCCGCCGCCCGCGGCTCCTCCCGCAAGCCGCCCTCGCGCCCGGCCTCCGTGGGGCTGGCGGGGGCCGCAGGGTCGGCCGCCGAGATGCTCCAAATCTGCTTCCTGCCACCCCTGCGAAGGCTTCCCCGCCTGGGAAGAAGGACCCGCTTCCTCCTCTCCTCCCTTCCCGAGCTGTCCCTCTCTCCCTTTGTTGCAGACCCGGCTTCATGCTGCCCAGGATTGAGGTTCCTTGAGGGGCTGGCTCTACAGAGCAGTTAGGTGCCTGTTCGTTCAGTCGATGGTTTGAGTGGAAAAGGCATCAGAAATGCTTTGACTCTTGTCATGCATGAGTTCATGAAACTTTGTTGTGTTGCCCTTCGGTTTATATCTACTTGGGACATAAGCTTCCTGTTCTCTTCTGCAGTTAGGAGAAAGGAGGGTACACCCTGTAAGCTCCTAAGAACATTCTTTATTTCAGAAAAACAGGCATGGGGAAGGAATCACAAAGGATGTACTGCAATCGACTTTTGGTTTTTGGTGTATTTATTTATTTAAATAGTTTTCTATTGCTTTTTAGAGAGAGTGAAGGGGGAGAAAGGAATAAAAATCACGGTTGTGAAAGAGACACAATGGTTGGTTGCCTCCCACACTGCTCCAACTGGGGTGGGGGATCGAACCTGCAACCTAGGTACCTGCCCTTGACCAGGATTCCAACCTGGGACCCCTCGGTGTCCGGGGCACACTCTAACCAGTGAGCAACACCTGCCAGTTTTAATGATTTTGTCAACTACCAACTACCAAAAGTAGTTACACTGTCAGATAGTGTTTTTCAACTAAGTCAGCAAAGATAAAAAAGAAAGACTGTTGTGATCTAGTCAGTGGTTGGAAACGGGTTCTCACGCCTTTGCTGGTGGGAAAATAAATTGGTACAATTTCACAGGAAGGCGGCAGTATGGCAATAGCCATTTAAATGACATACACTAAAGTTGGAATGATTCAGTTCTGTAGCTAGGGAATTTTCTTGCTGCATAGATGGCACATCATCATGATTTTCAGTGCAAAATTGTTTGCAATAGCAAATGGAGGAAACCCAGATGTTCAGAAAAGAATGGTTGTCCGTACAATGGGATGTGGGAGGTACATGAAATTATATACAAGACTAGTAAAAGGGGGGAGGACGTGGATGAGGGGGGAGGACGTGGATGGAGACATTCTCCTGTGACTCCATAGGTACCACCTGGAAGGTTGGGGAAATAATTGTACTTTCTTCTGTTTGGGCTGTAGGTGGGAAGGAAATTTAGGTTTCAAAACAGTGTGCCCGGTTGTGCGTTTTGAATATGAATCAAGTGAATGTATTACATATTCAAACAAAGTTTGAGAATTCAGTTATTAAATATTTCACAGTGACAGAAAAAATACAGAGAATAACATACCACTTCTTCCTACCAGATCCTAATATTTTGTTGTTTTGATTTTGTGTGTGTGTGTGTGTGTGTGTGTGTGTGTGTGTGTTTGTGTCCCCCGCCCCCCCGAAAAACATTCCCTTTTTTCTTCCTGGAGATAATCATGACTCTGAATTCCTATGTGTCTATATTACTTCATACCATAACACCTATCTGTAAGAAGTATTGGACAATATTGTTTTGTCTGTTTTCAAAGTTTTTCCCCCCAAAGTTTTTGTAAAGAAAATTGTACTACACACATTCTGCAATGTGCTATTCTTTTTCTGTGTGGCTGTGAGATTTCTTCATGTTGACATGCTTGAGTTCTAGTTTGCTCATTTTCACGGTTGTCCAGTGTTGTGACAGAGTACTGAGGAGTGTTTTGAGCCACATCACTGGAGCCCCAAGTAGGAGGCAGTATGGAGCCAGCATTTGAGAAGTCAGGTGGCACACTCATGGGGCGTTTGGGGGAGCTGTGGAGGACGTGACGTTTGGTAGGAAACCAGTTGGGATGCTATTGCTGCGGTTTGATCCGAAGTGGTGGCTGTGGAGGAATAGGGTGGTCATCTGAGATGGTGGAATGGCATTATAGAGTCTAATGTCAGGAAAAGAGACCATTGAGACCATGAGGTTTCTGACATGGAAATGGTGATTGTTTCAGTAACAAAACTAGACCAATTGGGAGGGCTTCTGGCTGGATTAGGAATCTAGCTGCAGGTGTGATTGGGAATGCGGGGGGCTCTTGGGAAAGAGGAGTGAGCTTGGGCAGTGTGTGTTGGCTGAAGGGAAGAAGTCAGAAAAGAGAATTGTGCAGGGCAGTTTCCAGGCAAGACGTTGGTCAGCATGAGGGCCTTGGCTCCACAAGAGGGTGGGGAAGAAGGAGTGGGTGGGCAGAGGCCTACAGAGGGGCCAGCACAGAGGAGAGCGTGTTGGACGGGAAGCGATGGAGGGTCCAAAGGAAGCAGGTCCTGGGAGAGGAGGAGGAGGCAGTGGTGCTCCTGAACCCCAGTAGTAGTCAGAGGCCAGTTTTGTTTTCCATTTTCTCTGATAAAATACAGTAGGGCCGTGGTCAGCAAACCGCAGCTCGTAAGCCACATGCGACTCTTTGGCCCCTTGAGTGTGGCTCTTCCACAAAACACCACGGCCTGGGCGAGTCTATTTTGAAGAAGTGGCATTAGAAGAAGTTTAAGTTTAAAAAATTTGGCTCTCAAAAGAAATTTCAATCGTTGTACTGTTGATATTTGGCTCTTTTGACTAATGAGTTTTCTGACCACTGCGTTAGGGAATTGTAAAAGAAACATTTACAGGAGGGGATAGTAGTAGCTAGAAGTGGGGAAGGCAGGTAGATGTTCAAGGCCCTGTGGCAGGTGGCCCTTCTGCACCGCCAACTGGCTGGCTGTGCTCTGGAGCAGTGGTCCGCGATGTCTAAAAGGTTGGCGACCGCTGCTCTGTGAGTGTGACGCTTGACTACACTGTGGGGCAGGACTGCACCCCCTGATCCAGAGCAGCCGGCTGTCCGTGGTCACTTCTGGTTGGTTTGGAGTGTGTGGCCAAAGTGTGTTGGTTTTACTGATTAGTTTTTGAGCCACCTGTTCAAACCTTTTTTTTTTTTTTTAATATTCAAATCATTTTTTTTTAAACATACTGACTCAAGTATTAGAAGGTAACCTTGACTTTATTTATTTTAAAAATATTTTTACTGATTTCAGTAGAAGGGAGAGGAGAGAAAGATAGAAACATCAATGATAAGAATCATTGATAGGCTGCCTTCTGCATGCCCCCTACTGGGGATCAAGTCTGCAACCTGGGCATGTGCCCTGACCAGGAATTGAACCATGACCTCCTGGTTCATAGGTCGCAACATCAGCCTGGCGGTAACCTTGAGTTTAAAACATTATGCAGATGATCTTTTTTTTTTTTTTAAAATATATTTTATTGATTTTTTTACAGAGAGGAAGGGAGAGAGATACAGAGTTAGAAACATCGATGAGAGAGAGTCATCGATCAGCTGCCTCTTGCACAACCCCTACTGGGGATATGCCCGCAACCAAGGTATATGCCCTTGACCGGAATCGAACCCAGGACCCTTCAGTCCCCAAGCCGACGCTCTATCCATTGAGCCAAACCGGTCCCGGCAATGCAGATGATCTTGAATCTCCGAATGTTGGTTAAAAAGGCAGGTCCTGTGTTTGTGTGTGTTTGTGTGTGTGTGTGTGTATGTGTGTGTGAGAATCCGTGAATCCTTATCCAAGGATATTTTTTCCCATTATAGTTAAAGAGAGTGTAGGGGTGGGGGAGAGACAGAGAGAGAAACATCAAGGCTAAGGCCTTGTACATGTGTGTTTTATATAATCCACCTCCATATAGCATCTCAGTAAGGTAGATGCTATGGTTATCCCCATTTTCTAGAATTGCAGATAGGCTTAAAAATAAGTCACTTATATGAGGCCACATACTTAGTAAGCAGAGTGTGAGAGAGATTGATGTGACAGTTACTACCTTTAAGCTCCCAGGATTACTAGAAAAGACAGAGCATCAGTCACACTAGCTATTCTTGGCAAAGATCCCACTCATTAAAGGTGATATCAGCCACTTGAACAGTCCTGGGATAAATTTGGAGAGAGCGCCTCACTAGAGAACCAAGTGCCTGTTGTCATTCTTATGATTCATTCTTGCTTGGAAAAACCCTGTTTTGCTCTTTCTCAGGGAGAGAGAAAGGGCTCTTGAGAACCTGGTCTGTGCTGATGCTTTATGTTCCTCTTTTACTATTTCCCTTTAAAAAAAAAAAAATATATATATATATATATATATATATATTCATTCATTCATTTATTTATTTATTTTTAATGATTTCAGAGGGGAAGGGAGAGAGAGATACAAACATCAATGATGAGGATCATTGCCGGGCTACCTCCTGCACGCCCCACACAGGGGATCGAGCCCGCAGCCCGGGCATATGCCCTGACCGGGAATTGAACCATCTACTCCAAGTGCATAGGTCGACGCTCAGCCACTGAGCCACGCCAGCCGGGCTGCTTCCCTTTTTCCAGTTGAGGAACCTGAGACTCAGGGTGATGATACGGTGGGTCCAAGGTGGGTGGGAGTTTCATTACATGTCCCAGAACCCTTGCTTTACAGTGATGCTAAAGGAGACAGGGGATAAAGACTCTTGGCAATGAAGGAACACAGGTCATCAAAGAGAAGGTCCCAAGTTTGGACAAGTGGTGGGAGGGGAGAGGGAATTAGAGCGTTTGAGACCACAGGGGAGGCACAGGTAAGCTGGAGGGAGAAACAGATGCTGCTGGGAGCAGAGCTGGCCCGTCGTCTACGGTGTGGTGTTGCCTCCCTTACTCATTCCCGATCCCCCCTCTCTTGTCAGCTGACGGCCAAGGTGGTGAGGTCTGCTGTGGTGGTCAGAATGGCAGAGGAGCAGGAGTTGACCCAGCTGTGCAAGTTGCCCACGCAGCCCTCACACACACACTGTGTCAACAACACCTACCGAAGCTCACAGCACTCCCAGGCCCTGCTCCGGGGGCTCCTGGCTCTTCGGGACAGTGGCATCCTCTTCGATGTGGTCCTGGTGGTGGAGGGGAGACACATCGAAGCCCATCGCATCCTGCTGGCTGCGTCCTGTGATTACTTCAGGTGAGTTTCATACACCTCTGTCGTAAGTAAAATCATAGGGTAACCCGGGCTCCACTGGGCAGAGATGTGTTGGCACTGACATGATTGGGCATGAGGGACCCGCCAGAAGCTGGCAGGCACCCTCTTCATCCTTAGCTACTCTTACTGCTTGTTTGGTGACTTGTTGAGCAGCAGAAGAGACTTGCTGAGCAGCAGAAAGGGTGTTAGGGTTTATTTTTCTTTCAACTGTTCATCTGTCTCTAAGGTATGTTCTCTTTTCTTTTGAAGATGATATGCTTGATAAGTTTGGCTTTACTTGTAATACTATACTTTATAAAATCAAATTTCTTCTCTAAGTACAGTATCTTGGTATAAAACAGATTTTCTTTCTACTTTACTCTGGCTTCCCAACATTTTATTTTGAAAAATTTCCAATCTGTGGGAAAGTTGAAAGAATATTGTATTATGAATACTTGAATACTAATTGTTAACATTTTGCCATATTTGCTTTCTCTCTGCATGTACGCACATACACTTTTTAAAAATATGTTTTTTATTGATTTCAGAGAGGAAGAGAGAAGGAGAGAGAGGTTTGAAACATCAATGATGAGAGAGAATCATTGGTCAGCTGCCTCCTGAACTCCCCCTACTGGGGATCGAGCCCACAACCTGGGCATATGCTCCTGACTGGAATCTTTCAGTCCACAGGCTGATGCTCTGTCCATTGAGCCAAACCTGCTAGGGTGACACACACACTATTTATTTGTTTGTTTGTTTATTTATTTTTATTGATTTCAGAGATGAAGGGAGAGGGAGAGAGAGATAAAAACATCAATGATGAGAGAGAATCATTCATCAGCTGCCTCCTGCATGCCCCCTACTGGATTGAGCCAACAACCCGGGCATGTGCCCTTGACCTGAATTGGACCCAGGACACCTCAGTCCATAGGCTGATGCTTTATTCACTGAGCCAAACTGGCTAGGGCCACACACACTTTTTTTTTTTTTAATATATGTTTTTATTGACTTTTTACAGAGAGGAAGAAAGAGGGATAGAGAGTAGAAACATCGATGAGAGAGAAACATTGATCAGCTGCCTCTTGCACACCCCCCACTGGGGATGTGCCTGCAACCAAGGTACATGCCCTTGACCGGAATCGAATCGGGGACCCTTCAGTCCATAGGGCGAAGCTCTAGCCACTGAGCCAAACCAGTTTTGGCCACACACTCTTTGACATTGTGACGGTTTACGTCTTAGACTTTCAGTGCCACATCTCTTAAACATTTGGTGAGATTACCTGTCTCATTTATAGTATATGGACAGTCCTATCAATGTGTTAACATATATAAAGCCTTTGTTCCAACAATTGCTTCTGTAGGAATTAATCCTAGTCACATGTGCAAAATGTGGGAATGGGGCCATCCATTGGATGAAAAACAGGGAGATTAGCCTTAACCGATTTAGTTCAGTGAATAGAGCATCGGCCTGTGGACTGAAGGGTCCCAGGTTCGATTCCGGTCAAGGGCATGTACTTGGTTGCAGGCACATCCCCAGTGGGAGGTGTGTGCAAGAGGCAGCTGATTAATGTTTCTCTCTCATCGATGTTTCTAACTCTCCCTCTCCCTTCCTCTCTGTAATAAATCAATAAAAAATACTTTAAAAAAAAAGAAAAAGAAAAAAGGGAGATTGGAAGTAAACCAAGTGCACCCCAACAGGAAAGGGTTAAATCAATTATGATAGAGCCTTTTCAGTGCTCTGTATTCCAATAAGAATCCATTTTCAAGGTGTATTGAATCAAAACAGCGTAGATAGGTGGACTGCCTCTAGTGCTAGAGCTGCTCTGGGAAGGGGAGCTGATGGCCTGGAGCAGAGGAGGGAGAGGCTGTCACCCTTCCATATATTTTATTTTAAGTCTTGTACTATATATGTGTTCTAACCTCGTTGAAAATTTTTAAAAATATAAAAATAGTTGCTCTATCATCTTTACATTGTCATATTTTAGTCCTGATGCCTCCCCTGACCACCAGCCCCTTCCCTCTGAATCGACTCTCAATTGGGAGGCCTCATGAGCATATCACACTGATGGGGCCACAATAGGACTCCCACTGCCTTCTCTGCCCCTGTTCCTCTCAGGTCCCCATCTGCCCAGCTGGCTGCACCATGACCCCACTCAAGAGCCTGATTCTTCCTGTGCTCTGCTAGGTCCATTCTGTCAGCATGTTCTCTCCAGTCCTCTCCAGGGTAGTTTCAACTATAGTTCTCCAGCCATGTGGTCCTTCCCAGCCCTTCCACTATGGTCAACAGCACCTGAATTTGAAGAGTCAGTCAGCTCATGCCATGCTCCTGCATAAAATTGCATAAAATTTCCCGATAGCATCTTATTATGCTTGGATTTAAATCTAGACTCTACCCTGCCCTGGGGGGTAGCAGGACTTGGCCAAGTATATTATCTCCAGCTCACTTCCACTTTGCCCTGGCTGCCTGTGTGCAAAACTTGTCCTTGCCCTGCACACGGGTGTTTATTTCCTCCTAGAACACTGTACCCTGGCTGGGGAGGTGCTGCCTAGTCTCACTTCAGTTTCTCAGAGTGGGCCTTCCTTGCCCCATTGTTCTCCACCTGCTCTGCTCTCCCAGGCATGCTCTCCTCAATCAGATGTCCTATTGAGTTTCTTCGCAGTATTCCCACAGTCTGAAATACCTTGTTTCTTTGTTGTTTATCATTCTTCCTAGCATTAAGCTTTTTGTATGTAGGAATCTTGCCACAGTACTTAACTGTTACTTCTTCTGCTCTTGGGATAGTACCTGGCATGTAGTAGGTGCTCAGTAAGTATGTACTGAACGGGATAACTCCCATTCATTCATTCTTTCTAACATGCTCTGGGCTGATACTGTGATTCAGGAAATATACTTAGTGGAAGCAGCAGAAAGCAAGCCAGACATGGTCTCTACTCCCAGGAGGCTCACGTGTAACTCCCTAGGGCCCATGAAAGGGGACACAGGGCAATTTTTAGGATGGTTGCTCAAACTTGGTCAGGAACTTGTGGATGCCTTTTGTGGGATGACTCAGTTCTCTGATTGAGGCAACGTCCTGTCGCACAGTGGTGCTGGATCAGCCCGCTCCTCGGTCTGGCTGCTCATGCTCTTTGTAGCCTGGGCTGGTGGCCCAATTAGTATAACTCCACTGTCTCGTGTCTTCACTTTGCAGAGGAATGTTTGCTGGGGGATTGAAGGAAATGGAACAGGAAGAGGTCCTAATCCACGGTGTGTCCTACAATGCCATGTGCCAAATCCTGCATTTCATATACACTTCCGAGCTGGAGCTCAGCCTGAGCAATGTCCAGGAGACGCTGGTGGCCGCCTGCCAGCTTCAGGTGAGGCTCACCTCATTGGAGCAAGGCAGACACCCATCCATCGGCGTGGTTTCCCTGGGTGCCTGCCAGGGACAGGCATGGGGGTGGGTCAGGCAGGTGAGGACACGAGGCAGTAAGAGAGTTTGGAAGCCCCCGGGAAGTGCTTGGTTTGGCCAGCTCTGGGCACAGAGCAGAGCTGCTCTACAGGTTGTCAGGTCCAGGTTCCTCCTCTGCGTTTAGCCTTTGCTTTTCTGCTCGTTCCTTTACGTCTTCCTGGGTCTCCCTGCCCCTGGAAAGGTCCTGCAGGTAAATAAATGGCGGAAACTGAGCCTATGACATCCTGTGGATGTTGGCATCTGGCGAAGCTGAGCTTCCCCCAGTGTTGCTGCCTCGGCCCTTTCTGCCCATCCTCTCCACTTGGTCTTGTTGATCTCTGAAGCTGCTTTCCCCTTTTTATTGAACTTTAAGTACTTATTTTCCTGCAGAATTAAAAAAAAAAAGTCTTCTGAGGCTTTGACAGTGTAATATACATTTTAGAAAACTGCATTGACTCTTAGCAGTGTTGGTGCACTTACACAGGCTGGGCCTGCACATGCCTTTACTCTTATGAAGAGCTGTCCATCAGACAACCTGATTGGGCTTGAGAGACATCTCTTCCCATATTTCTTGAAAGTAAATTCATTATCCTCACCTTTTAAAAAATATTTTTTAATTGATTTCAGAGAGGAAGAGAGAGTTAGAGAGAGAGAGAAATGTCATTGATGAGAGAGAGTCAATAATGAGAGAGAATCATTGATCAGCTGCCTCATTGGGGATCAAGCCTGCAACCTGGGCATGTGCTCTGACCAGGAATCGAACCATGGCCTACTGGTTCATAGGTTGATACTGAACCACACTGGCCCGCTAATCCTCACCTTTTTTCAGGTCAGAGCATATTTGGGGCAGTCAGAAAAAACTCAAGTCATAGGGAAACCAACCTGTTCAGGGCATCTGGAAGCCCTACCCTGAGCTCCTTGTGCCATTACCCTCAGAGTGGGAGAGGGAACCCCCACTTCATCTTGAACAGCTCAGCTTTGTTTTGTTTTATTTTTAATATATTGGGCTTCTATGCAATGTTTTTTTTTTAATTTAAAAAAAATATTTTTTTTCATTGATTTCAGAAGTGAAGGGAGAGGGAAGAGAGTAGAAACATCAATGATGTGAGAGAATCATTGATTGGCCGCCTCCTGCATGCCCCCTACTGGGGATTGAGCCCACAACCTAGGCATGTGCCCTTGATTGGAATCGAACCCAGGACCCTTCAGTCTGCAGGCCAATGTTCTGACCACTGAGCCAAATCAGGTAGGGATATGCAATGATATTTTTATTTTTATTTTTTTATTTTTTTATTTTTTATTTTTTTATTGATTTTGTACAGAGAGGAAAGGAGAGAGATAGAGAGTTAGAAACATCGATGAGAGAGAAACATCGATCAGCTGCCTCTTGCACACCCCCTACTGGGGATGTACCCGCAACCAAGGTACATGCCCTTGACCGGAATCGAACCCAGGACCCCTCAGTCCCCAAGCCGACGCTCTATCCATTGAGCCAAACCGGTCCCGGCTGCAATGATATTTTTAAAGCAAGTTTTACTTGGCATAACAGTTCCAAGTCCATAGGCCCATCAGATCATGTTTGTTTGTGTAGCTACTAGCTGTTGGTGACTTGCCCCCTCCCCACATGCTGTGCCCTGGGTCTGAATTCCAGCAAGATCACCCCCAGTGAGTCATCCTCTGACCCCGCGTGGCGCAGCGTGGCGCGGTGTGGCGCTCCTTCATGGGGTGGGCCTGAGGTGACTCCTCTGTGAGGTTCTCTCCGGCAGAGGGCCCAGCGCTCTGGCAATGGGAAGGCAACACAATCCTCGTGTAGGAGGCTTTGGTTCTTCCAGGCTCACTGAGGGCAGTTTGCTCTCACCTTCTGCCTAGTCCTTGGTGTCCTGCCCATGGCACATCAGTAGTATTTTAGGAAGAAGAAGGAAAGCAGAAGTTTGGGCCAAGAGAGAAGTTGTGGTTGAGTAAAGATTTTCATGCCCTCATGTCAGTAAAGACTGACATTCCCTTTGGGGAAATACATGCCTGGAACTTCACAGGTTTTTATTCAGCCCTTAACATATCACCTGGAAAATAAAAGTAAAACCATTATAAATGTTTATTTTAAGCTTCAGATGCCAGCAGAATTGCTCTATGTGCCTTGGTCAATTTGTTAATGATGCTGAAAAAGTGAGGTGGTCCTGTTTTTAGAGAAATTCCCAAATCCTGTTTTCCTAAAGAATTTAGCAATACCTGGGCAGCTTTCCCTAGAGCTCTTCTCTCTGTCTCCTTTATTCTCTCATGCTTTGGTTATCTACTAGTAATAACCCTTTGGTTAAAGGGTTTGGTGTCCTTTAACTCCGTGGCCCAATTCTCAGCTCCCACCTTAGTGTCATGCCCTCCCTTGCCCTCCTTCCAATCCACTGGGCCTTCTGAACAGTTGGGGAAGGGAAGGTGCAGGCCACCTGGGAGCCCCGTTGATGAGTTGAGCAGGCCTCTGCCCTGGCAGCGTGGCTTTTAGCTTTTTAGGAACTCTGGGTCAGGTTGAGTGCTGGGTGGATGTTTGGGAATGCCCTGCTGGTGGTTTCCTATTAAGTTTTTTAGAGAGAGGAAGGGAAAGGAAGAGAGAAACATAGTATATGGGTAGCTTAGGGCCTTGCTCTTGGGGGAGTGGGCAGGTTTCCTGGGCCTGAAGTTTTGGCTGGGCCTCCAGTTGTGGGGGTTGTAGCAGGAGAAAGGAGCTGGGGGTTAGGGTGGAGGTCCCAGATGCATTCCACACCAGGGACAGTGGACACCGTGGCCATGTGCAGCTCTGGAGATCCAGTACTTTGTTTGTTTGCTTATTTATTTATTTATTTATTTATTTATTATTGATTTTTACAGAGGGGAAAGGAGAGGGATAGTTAGAAACATTGATGAGAGAGAAACATGGATCAGGTGCCTCCTGCACACCCCCTACTGGGGATGTGCCCGCAACCAAGGTACATGCCCTTGACTGGAATTGAACTCGGGACCTTTAGTCCACAGGCCGCGGCTCTGTCCACTGAGCCAAACCAGTTAGGGCGAGATCCAGTACTTTTGATCTAAAAGGCAACTGACATATATCAGGGGTCCATTCTGTGCCAGGGAGTTCCTAGGCATGATGTCACTTGAAATTATTCCTTTCTACTTTATCTCTATGTTATAGATAAGCAAACTGAGGCTCAGCGAGGTTAAGAGCATTCTGCAAATCCCTTCTGAGCCAGGATTTAAACCCAGTCCATCTGCAGCGAACCCCATTTGTCTCTAATGTTGGGGAAGGTGGCTGCACCAGCCTCTGCTCCAGGAAAGGTTGGGAATGTGAGGGGGTCCGGGGGAGTGGAACCTGCTTCAGAGGACAGCCATGTAAGGCATGTAACTACTGTCACTGTCTTCTGCACCCAGACACCGTTTCCCAGCTTGAATGAGTCTTGTTTTCTTCACAGATCCCAGAAATCATCCATTTCTGCTGTGATTTCCTCATGTCCTGGGTGGATGAGGAGAACATCCTTGATGTCTACCGGCTGGCAGAGCTATTTGACTTGAACCATTTGACCAAGCAGCTGGACACCTACATCCTCAAAAACTTTGTGGCCTTCTCGAGGACTGACAAGTACCGCCAGCTTCCTCTGGAGAAGGTCTACTCCCTCCTCAGCAGCAACCGCCTGGAGGTCTCCTGCGAGACCGAGGTGTATGAGGGTGCCCTGCTCTACCATTACACCCTGGAGCAGGTGCAAGCAGACCAGATCTCATTGCAAGAGCCCCCCAAGCTCCTTGAGACAGTGCGGTTTCCCCTAATGGAACCCGAGGTCCTTCAGCGGCTGCATGACAAGCTGGACCCCAGCCCACTGAGGGACACAGTGGCCAATGCTCTCATGTACCACCAGAACGAGAGCCTGCAGCCCAGCCTACAGAGCCCACAGACAGAGCTGCGGTCAGACTTCCAGTGCGTTGTGGGCTTTGGGGGCATTCACTCCACACCATCCACTGTCCTCAGTGACCAGGCCAAGTACCTGAACCCCCTGCTGGGAGAGTGGAAGCACTTCACCGCCTCCCTGGCCCCCCGGATGTCCAACCAGGGCATCGCGGTGCTCAACAACTTTGTGTATCTGATTGGAGGGGACAACAATGTCCAGGGATTCCGCGCTGAGTCCCGATGCTGGAGGTAAGAAGGGACCCCTGGCCATATTTCTGTGTGTGATGCTGTAGTGTAGGGATCATGGGCTCAGAGGGCTGGTTAGGGAGGGGTTCTGCATGGGCACACCACCATGGACCAAGGTGATCAGCCTTTTATATTAATCTTGTGCTTGTTGGGGTGCCTGTTTTGTGGAACAAATTGCAGGTTAATTGGAGAATGTAGATGGTGGTGACATAAGAAGGGGACCTGGATTGCTTTCTTTCGCTCTTTGTCCCCTTCTCAGTAGCACACTCACCCTGGATCACACCCTGCTGTCTTGTGGGGGAGGAGGGGGGCTGAGTTGTCACTCTGCACTTGGCTTTGCGCAGGGGAGAGAAGTCCGTGGCAGGAAGGGTGGTTAGGCCTCAGAAGGAGGGAATTTAGGAGTTGGGAGCATGGACAGGCAGTTGCTTCTTCCATTTTGCCTTCTCTTGAATTTTGACACAACTCGTCCTAGCTTCCCTTTGTCTGCTTTGCTCTTCTGACCACAAGCCAGTAATGGATATAATGGATAATGACTTCCTATTGCTACTGCTCCCCTGAGTGTGCAGTCCTCAGCTCTAGGATGCAGGAAAGGCCAACAGGCACTACTGAGTTTCTTGCCAAATCCCCACCCTTCCTCTAGGGTCTACTCCGTCCTCAGCAGCAACTGCCTGGAGTCTCCTGCGAGACCGAGGTGTCTGAGGCAGTATATGCTGTCAGCAGAGTCGTCTCCAGAGAAGGAAGTTTTCTGAGGGGGGTTTTCTGGAGGACTGCCATGCTCTGTAGGAGGCTTTAGCTCTGTCAATCTATGAGGCTCATTCCACAGGGCCAAAAGGTTTTCAGGTCCCGCCCACTGTACTTTGGTTTGATTTCTTGGTATTTGACGCCTATGGAAAGTTTCCACCTGCACAGACTGAAAGATGGTACCACAGAGGGAGAGCAAGAGTTCCCACTGCTTCTTGCATCTTTGAGTTTGGTGCAGATCAAGTTCGTGTCCTTGATTTTATCTTCTGGGGTGAGGGTGGTGTGGGGTCTGGCCTGTCTATGCCTCTCAGAAGCATGGTGACCAGGACTGAGGTGGAAGTGACCATTCCTCAGCCACTTCTGATCTCCTGGGCTCAGGCAGGGATTACCTTTGTTAGCCTGATGAGACCCAAAGCCAGGAGGCAGTACTTGCAGTCACCCCAATGTCGTCCCCAGTGGGTGTGGCAGCACCAGGTTCAAGCCTCCCTCTAGCCACGCCTCGAAGTTTGTTTTTTAAGGCGCTCAGCTTCCCATTTGGAGAGCCAAGGTCAGATCTACCTACTGAGCTACCGCAGACCTGTAAAGCAGATGTCTCCAGAATGTCATGGTCTCCAGCCCTCAGCACATGGCAGGGTGGTTGTGTGCCTGCAGGGATGCTGCTAGCCCATAGTCTGGCCTGTTACATGCAGTTTCATAGAAGATTGGTCTAAATTCCCCTTTCTTGAACATGTGCTATGAGACCCAAGCTGGATTCTGGAAAATGCTAATATAAGCCCTGTGATTGATAACTACAGCCTCAAACTTCATGCAGGAAGTGGATCACTGCGACAGGTGCGGTTGTGAGACCTGCCTAATGGGAGCAGGCAACAATGAGAGCATCCGGCAAGGTGGTTGGGAGGGTCCTGGGTCTGTCATCTCTACAGAGCCAATGTTTCCTTAATCTCCCATGGATTCCCATATATATATATATTTAAATTGATTTCAGAGAGGAAGTGAGAGGGAGAAAAAGATAGAAACATCAATGATGAGAGAGAATCATTGATTGGCTGTCTCCTGCATGCCACATCCCTTCTGGGGATCGAGCCCTTGACCCAAATCGAACCTGGGACCCTTCAGTTCTCAGGCTAATGCTCTATCCACTGAGCCAAACCGGCTAGGACTCTCCCAGTGGATTCTTTTTTTTGCTTTTTTAATATATTTTATTTATTTTTTTACAGATAGGAAGGGAGAGGATAGAGAGTTAGAAACATCAGTGAGAAAGAAACATCGATCAGCTGCCTCCTGCACACACCCTACTGGGGATGTGCCCGCAACCAAGGTACATGCCCTTGACCGGTATCAAACCTGGGACCCTTCAGTCCTCAGGCCGATGCTCTATCCATTGAGCCAACCCAGTTAGGGCTGCTAGATGGAAGATGGATTTTTTAAAAAATATATATATATATTTTGTTGATTTTTTACAGAGAGGAAGGGAGAGAGATAGAGAGCTACGATGAGAGAGAAACATTGACCAGCTGCCTCCTGCACACCCCTCACCGGGGATGTGCCCGCAACCAATGTCCATGCCCCTGACTGGAATCGAACCTGGGACCTTTCAGTCCGCAGACCGACGCTCTACCACTGAGCCAAACCGGTTTTGGCGGAAGATGGATTTTGATTTGATCTAAGAGTTTGGTTCTCTCCCCTTAACCCTTCCATTATTTCACCAGCCTTTGAACCTATAGACTTTCAGAATATAAGAACACAAGATTTTGCAGTAAATTAGGGTTTGCACATTAAGGAGCTAGGGACTTACCAGATTATATTTTAAAGCATTGGTACAGAAACTATATAAAAAGTTACCTCTTTTGCCCTATGCCATTTGGCTCAGTGGATAGAGTGTCAGCCTGTGGACTCAAGGGTCCCAGGTTTGATTCAGGTCAGGGGCATGTACCTTGGTTGTGGGTGCATTCCCAGTGGGGGTATGCAGGAGGCAGCTGATTGATGTTTCTCTCTCATCAATGTTTCTGGCTCTCTTTCCTTCTCCATTCTTCTCTCTAAAAAATTCAATAAAAAAAATATTTTTTAAAAAGTTACCTCTTTTGGAGCAAATTGTATTTGCCTCCAAGATACCACTGTTTCTTTCTTTGATTGCATCTTTAGTATCTACTTTCTATGTTTGCACCTTTTTTATAGCTCTGGCCTTTTGAAAACTAACTACCTGCCTTACCTGGTAGTAGCTGGTCTCATGTTGCCACATGTTCTGACCCTACTTAGAGTAATAACTTTTTCCCCCTTAGGCATTCCCATGACTTATAGTATATTTCAAATAATGTTATAATTGTAATGAACTTCATTACTAGTTATGAGAATGCTGGAGTCATAGAAATTCCGAAGAAATAGTCTACTAAATTTAACAAGAGCCCAGAACATATTTGTACCAACTCTAGATTTCACTTCTGAGTTTGCAATTGGAAGATCCACAATCTGCATTAAAATGATTAAAAACTGATCATATCCTTATATGCAATAATAAAGCTTACTTTTTATTAGAAAAAGAATATTACTTGGGGATTTATTCTAACAAAGTGGAAAATTAATCCATTAAAGAGAAAAATGTGGAATTTAGGACACAGTCGGGAGATAAGAAATCAGTGGAACTGTGGTTCTCATTAAGTTTAGTAGACTTTTTCTTTGGTGCCTTTAAATTATTGGGGTGTGTGTGTGTGTGTGTGTCCTTAAATCTGAAGCCACAAAGCCAAGTGAACTCTGGAAGCTGTCAGGGCAGGAGACCAGAAGGAATAAGCGGAAGCATCTAGAGCAGTGGTTCTCAACCTTTCTAATGCCGCATGCGACTTTTTAACACAGTTCCTCATGCTGTGGTGACCCCCAACCATAAAATTATTTTCGTTGCTACTTCATAACTGTAATTTTGCTACTGTTAATGAATCGTAATGTAAATATCTGTGTTTTCTGATGGTCTTAGGCTACCCTGCTAGCGGTTCTCAACCTGTGGGATCACTGCTGTAGAGCCTAATTAGCAAAATTACAGTTATGAAGTAGCAACGAAAATAATTTTATGGTCAGGGGTCACCACAACATGAGGAACTGTGTTAAAGGGTAGTGGCATTAAAAAGGTTGAGAATCACTGATCTAGAGGGTATTGTGTCACTCTAGTGGAAGATGCTGACTTATGCTTGGCTCAGAATAGGGACGAAGGGGATGTGAGGGCGATCTGGCTGTGACATCTGTCACCTTATTAATCGCTAGGATTGACTTGGCTGATCTGGCTGGTGTCTCCTTCCTCCCTCAATGCTCTATGTGCATCCCTCTGGAAGCTATGCCTTCAGTTGAAGAGGAAAAGTAAATAAATATTTTTAAATAGGGAAAAGAGACATGTACGTGAATGAGTGTTATGCACAGGAAAGGCCGTAGAAGGCACCATCCTAGCTGGTTAATGGCCTTTGAATGGTGCACTCTGGACTGAACTGGCTATCTGTTCCCAGCCTCACCTTCACCTGGCTGTGCCTCTGGTCATTCAGGTCTCAAATGTCACCTTCTCAGGAGGCCCTTCATTTCTGTGAGAGCTTTGCTCTCCCCAGACCTTACTGCCCGGTGGATCACTTTCCTTACAACATCATCATCATCATCATCATTATATTTGTGGTACCTGCATTATACTGAGCACTTGTTCACTCTGTTCTCTTTAGCTTGTTTTCCAATTCTGATAGAAAGCAGGGGCCTTGTCTTGAGTTTCCCTCTGGATCCCCAGCACTGAGCAACGTCTGATCCATGTTGGGTGGCCAGTACATATCTGTAGAGTGAAGGAATGATTTCACTGCTAGTAATTTTACTCCTTCATTAATTTATTAAGCAGACAGTTTATTAAGCATGATGTACCTTGATCAGGTGCTATGCTGATCAGGTGCTACGAGGTTTAGAAATACAGATGTGACCTTGGTCCTTTACAAACTTCCCTCAGGTTAACAAGGATCCTTTTTATGTATGTTGTCCTTTCCGATCCTTCATGATAGCTTTTCTAGGCAGATGGCATCACCTTATTGGACAGGCGCAGAGACTGAGTGAATGTCCAGATGCACCCAAGGAAATGGGCAGAACTGGGATTCAGGCCTGCGTCTGTGTGTGTCCCAGGTGCATGTTCTGTCTCTTGTAGCCCTTACTCCTGAGACAGCTTGTTTCATGAAATTCCTGGGTGGAGGGTAGGAAGAATCAGCTGCAGGATGTGCCCAACTTGTGCTTTGGGGCAAAGGATGCATCTGATTTCCTCACCAAATAGCATATGACACAGGCCAAAGAGAACTCATTCATTCTCTTCCGAACTACTTGAAGTTTGACCTATTCTCTTTGGAGTTTGTCTTCCTGTGTAGAAATAAAACACTTACCTGAAAGGTGCTATGTCTATGCATTGGCCATTGAGCAAGGAGGCACCAGATGTAGGAGCTCCAGTGCAGACCCTGGGTGGATGGATGCCCAGGAAAAGGGCCAGATGCTGGTCAGGGAAAGAGTGGGCTTTGGGCCTCAGGCTCACAGGGCCCTGGGTCCTCAAGGCTTTGTGATCATCTGTATTCAATCAAACAACACACCATATAGGCCCTGCAGAGCACCAGGCCTGGGGCACAGACAGAAGGGGTAGAGGCAATAGGAGGCTCCCTGGAAGTGGGGCAAGCCTGGGGGCTGGAAAGTATGGACTAGGGCTTTGAAGGGCCTGAGCTACAGTATTAGGATTTTGGAGTGTGACCTGGAACTTTGCTGGTGTGGTAGAGTCCATGGATAGAGGGAGCATGGGGTTCCATTTAGGACAGGTGAGTAGTCAGCTGGAGATGGGTGGGAGGCAGGTGCAGTGCAAGGACTATAGCTAGTTGGTCTGGAGTGTCTGAGAACACCTGGGTTGAGAATTCAAAGCCCTTTGAAGGCAGAAGAGGGGTAGGGTGGGCTTTGCCAGGAGTGCAGGATGACGCTGCGTGGGGATTAGACTTTTTTTTTTTTTATAAAGGCTGATGAGAAGGAAGGAGCGTGAAGGGCTGTGACTTGGGGACAACTGCATCTCCAGTGAAAAGGGAGTGAAAGTGGCCTCCATGTCAGGGGAGCAGCTTATGGCAACGGTTAACCGCTCACATGGTGCTGCGGCTCAGCAGTGACTCAGTAGCGGTCAGCTTTTCTCCCAGTTGGTCCAGCAGTGTTCCTGCCGGCCAGGCTGACTCCTCCAGCGTCATGGGGACGCCTGGCATCCCAGAGGACCCCACCCTCTTGATACTCACAGTCCGGTGTGGGAGATAGCACCTTGACTCCCACAGAGAGGGAGACCCGGAGAAGTGGAGAGGGCACCCGGCTGGGGAGGTCGGGAAGCATGAGGCGCATGAAGAGCTGAAGAGGTGGGCTGTGATGAGCACGGGTGGGCACTGTGCCCATGGCAGGCTCGAGCAGACCACCCCGAGGGAGTGTTGGTGTAGCTAGAGGCTTGGAGGCTATTTTGTGTCCGTCCACAGCTCATGGTCATCCTGAATGAATGGGGGCAGGGCTGTGGGGGCCGTGAGGTGAGATGGAGGTGGCTGACAGAACAGCCCTCGGTCAGTCTGGGGTGGGTAGTAGAGTGGGCTAAAAACCATGCCAGAGGCTACACTGGAAGGGACCAGCTTTGTGGGCAGAAACCCAGGAGGCTTCTGGCCACACCTCCCAGGTGTGTATCAGCCTGCTGCCATGGCTGTGAGTGGGTGTGTGCTAGTGTGTGGAAGCAGATGATGGGAGGGTTCATGAGACATGGGCAGAACAGGAGGTGCTGTCTCGCCTGTCAGTGATATGCTGTCCTCATGTCCCCTCAAAAGGTATGACCCGCGGCACAACCGCTGGTTCCAGATCCAGTCCCTGCAGCAGGAGCACGCCGACCTGTGTGTGTGTGTCGTGGGCGGGTACATCTACGCAGTGGCGGGCCGTGACTACCACACTGACCTGAATGCTGTGGAGCGCTATGACCCTACCACCAACACCTGGGCCTATGTGGCCCCGCTCAAGAGGGAGGTAAAGAAGCCCTTCCAAGAGGGGTTTTTCCCACCCGCTCTCCTTTCTGGGGTGTGTAGAATGAGCCAAAGACCCAGCCAGGGAATCAGGGCCAGTGAGCTGAGCCCACATCCCTCCAGAGACCCTGCCCTGAGAGCAGGAGGGGGACCGCTGAGGTTCTGCCCACTACCTGGGGAGAGCTGATGAAGCATCAAACCGCATTCCCCAGAATTCCTCCCCTTCTTGTCTTCCACCATGGCTCTGGAAGCTACTTTAATTCTGGAGTTCAAATGTAGAAACCTTCCCCTCATCTGTCCTTGAGCACAGCTGAGAGGAGCTAGGATGTGTCCAAAGATGGAAGACAAGAGATGAAGGCTCAGAAGCCTCACACTTCTCCCCTAAGGTTCCCTTGGAGGGTGGGGCCTTTAAAACGCCAAAAACGCATGAGAATTTTTATTTTTTCAAGGTTTTTTTGTTTTTGTTTGTTTGTTTTTAGATCATGTGCCTCCTACACAGAACCTTGGTTTGTTCCAATTTGGAGATGTTTACTTTAGGGAGGTCCCTCTTTTGTTCTATGATTGTGAGGTACTTGGAGCCTGTCCCCAAAACCAGACATGAGGTCCCAGGGCAAGGAGGAGGCTAGCTGATACCCCATGTCCCAGGTTTCAGCCTCTGAGAGCAGGGTATGCACCCTGTTGGTGCTGGCATTGTAATTTTCAGAACATCTGTTACACACCTTTGGGGATCCCTGAGCTCCTCAGAAGCAGGAGGTGGCATGGGGGGTGAGCGAGGCTCTGCCTTGGGCTCTACTGAACTAGCTCTGGGACCTTAGCAGAAACGAGCTCCTGCCTTTCTGAACCTCTTTCCACACATCCCCTCTTTATCTCTCACCCTTAGATTTTGACTCTTGGGAGCTAGGGGACTCCCTGATGAGTCTTGCTCCTCTCCAAGGTCAGGGTCTCCTCCCATGATTTCTTTCAGGCACGGAAAGCTGGCATGCTCTTTGCTCCTCAGCTTTTTTTGGGAAGGGAGCCCCTCTAGAAGCATACTCTCTACCCCTAATCTGGAGAAAGGAGCATATTTTGCTTGGAAAATGTCAGGACTCCTTGACACCTGGGAGATGAGGATGAACTGAATTCCTCTCTGCCAGGGTGCTAGATGGGGGAGGGGTCTGAGGGATCTTTGTTTGGGAAGCTGCCGTTCTCAGTGTGGCCACAGAGGGGCAGGCTTATCCTTTAGTCCATCCATCGCTAACCTGTGGGACGTCGCAGACCACCAGTTTAGTTAACGTCTTCCTGACTGCCAATGTTCCTTACTTCATACATTCATTTATTCAGCAACTATTTATTAAGCACCCTTTTTGTATATTTCTTTTTCACTTACCCTTTTTCTAATACCTGGGGATGCATTGAGGACAAGAAATGACAAAGGTTCCCTCATGGTCTTTATAGCCTACAAATCTGTAAAGTAATTGCCAATTGTGGTAAGTGTGATGAGGAAATTAAGAGGAGGTTGAGCTAAACAGAGCTGGGGTGGGGAGTTGGTGGTGGGGGGGCTTTGACAGGACAGATCTAGATAGACTATTTGGGGAAGGTTCATTTGAGGATGTGTCAGACTAAGGGAGGAAGGACCTTGTAGGCCAGGAGGGGACTTCATCGTTTATTCTGAGAAAGGGAAAGTGCTTGTGAAGAGAAGAGGATTTAGAGGAGTGGGGAACAAGGACAGAAGTTCTGTGCGAGGGTGGAGGCTATTGGAGAAGGAAGAAAATGGATGGATTTGAGCTATAGTTTGGAGGTAAACTGACAAGGCTGTTGGAAACTATTAAGCAACACAAAGATTTATTGTACCTAGCTACAGTTGTTTTACCAGGAAGTTTTGTGGCACTAAGAGCATCCATGAGAAGGGTGTGTGTGTCTCAAATCAATAATCTAACTCCTACCTCAAAGACCTGAAAAAAGAAGAGCTAAGTATATCCAAATCAAACAGAAGAGGGAAAGTAATAAAAAGAGCAGAGACCAAGGAAATTAAAAGCAGATAAAAGGTAGGGAAAATCAACCAAAGAACTGTGTTTTTCTTTCCCCACAAGATCAATAAAATTGACAAACTTCAATCAAGACTGACCCCAAAAAAAAAGAGAGAGAGAGAAGACAGAATTTAAAATATTAAGGATGAAATTGGACTTTCCTGTAAATCCTGTAGACGTCAAAAGAGAATAATACAAACAACTCTACACATGTAAATTTGACAACTTAGATGACATGGGCCAATTCCTCAAAAAAAACTACAATCTCGCCAAAACCGGTTTGGCTCAGTGGATAGAGCGTCAGCCTGTGGACTGAGGGGTCCCAGGTTCGATTCCGGTCAAGGGCATGTACTTGGTTGCGGGCACATCCCCATTGGGGGGTGTGCAAGAGACAGCTGATGGATGTTTCTCTCTCATCAATGTTTCTAACTCTCTATCCCTCTCCTCTCTCTTCCTCTCTCTCTATAAAAAATCAATAAAATATATTTAAAAAAAAACAAAAAACTACAATCTCCACAACTTGCTCAGCATAAAACAGATAAATGGAATAGCTCTATACCTATTGAGGAATGTGTAGGTGCAGGTGATTTCACTGAAAAATTCTTTTTATATATATTTTTTTTTATTGATTTTTTTACAGAGAGGAAGGGAGAAGGATAGAGAGCTAGAAACATGGATCAACTGCCTCTTGCACACCCCCTACATGCAACTAATGTACATGCCCTTGACTGGAATTGAACCTAGGACCTTTCAGTCTGCAGGCCGATGCTCTGTTCACTAAGCTAGACGGGTTTCGGCTCCCTGGAGAATTCTTATTCTCACAAACATTTAAAGAAAAGTTGGCACCAGTTCTGTGTGACTTTCCCCCCAGAAAAGAGGAGGAGGGAATTCATCTTATAAAGTTAATATTACACTGATAATCAAATTCATCTTATAAAATTAATATTACCCTGATACCCAAACTGTCAAAAACAGTACCAAAAAGGGAAGTGTCAGGCAGTTGAAGGGTAGGAGCAGCCTTGGCAAAGGCCACTGGCTGCCCTCCCTCACTGCTCTCTTGCCCCTCCCCATCTGCCCCTGTTCTCTTGGTGGTCCGTGTAGGTGTATGCTCATGCTGGCGCCACCCTGGAGGGGAAGATGTACATTACCTGCGGCCGCAGAGGGGAGGACTACCTAAGGGAGACACACTGCTACGACCCAGACAGCAACACCTGGCAAGCTCTGGCCGATGGGCCTGTGCGGAGGGCCTGGCACGGCATGGCCACCCTCCTGGACAAGCTGTATGTGATCGGGGGCAGCAACAATGATATTGGCTCCAGGAGGGATGTGCACCAGGTAAGTGCGGCTGGGCTGCCTTACACACCGTTGTTCTGCCCCTCCCTATGGTTATGGATGAAAAATTATTTGTGACATGTGCCTCCTTTTCATTTATTTGTATTTTTAGTGATTTCAGAGAGGAAGAGAGAAATGATGAGAATCATTGATCGGCTGCCTCCTGCAAGACCCCTACTGAGCATATGCCCTTGACCAGAATTGAATCCGGGACCCTTCAGTTCACAGACTGATGTTCTATCCACTGAGCCAAACAAGCTAGGGCTGTTTTACTTATTTATTTATTTTATATTTTATTGATATTTTACAGAGAGGAAGGGAGAGGAATAGAGAGATAGAAACATCGATGAGAGAGAAACATCGACTAGCCGCCTCCTGCACACCCCATACCAATGCCCGCAACTAATGTACATGCCCTTGACCGGAATCGAACCTGGGACCTTCCAATCCACAGACCGACACTCTATCCATTGAGCCAAACCAGTTTCGGCTACTTACTTATTTTTTAAAGCCGTTTCAGGTGCTAGTAAAAAAAAAATTTAATGATTTTATTTTGCAGTTTGGTTCACAGCAAAATTGAACAGAAACTAGATAGAGCCCAGGATTTTTGAAAGTATAAAAATACTTCGTATGATATGTCAGTATACATTTGTCCAGACCCATAGAATGTACATCCCCAAGAGTGAGCCCTAACTATGGATTTTGGGTGATTACATGTCAGTATAAATTTATCAATTATAACAAATGCCCCACTCTTGTAGGGGATGTCGACAGAGTGTGTGTGTTTGAATGGGGGTATATGGAAAATCTCTGTACTTTCTGTTAATTAAAAAAAAAAAAATTTTTTTAGAGTAGTTTTAGGTTTACTACAAAATTAAGTAGGTATAGACCTGACCAGTTTGGCTCAGTGGATAGAGCGTCAGCCTGCGGACTGAAAGGTCCCAGGTTCAATTCCAGTCAAGGGCGTGTACCTTGGTTGTGGGCACATTCCCAGTGCATGGTGTGCAGGAGGCAGCTGATCGATGTTTCTCATTGATGCTTCTAGCTCTCTATCCCTCTCCCTTCCTCTCTGTAAAAAAAAAAAAAAAAAAAAAAGAAGAAAGAAAGAAAGAAAGAAAAGAAAAAAAGAAGGTATAGAGATTTCCTGTATATGCTCTGCTCCCACACATGCACAGCTCCCCTCAGTATCAACGGCCCCATCATGTGACACATTTGTTACAATTAAAGAATCCACAGTTTACATCAGGGTTCACCCTTGGTGCACATTCTGTGGGTTTGGACAAATGTCTACTGACATGTGTCTACCATTATAATTATATGGAATAGTTTCACTTATTTTTATTATTATTAAAAACCTTAATTATAAAGTTAATATAACCACATTGCAGAACCTTTAAATAATGGAGAAGGGTAAAGAAAAACATGCATAATCCAGTCCTGTGCCACTGTTTTTTTGTCCTCCTACCTATGCATGGTTTCCACCCAGTTATAGTTAAAGAATCTCCCCTTCTGCTCTGGCTGAAGTTCATGGAGGGTGTCTTCCAGTTAATATTTGATTTCCATAGCCGCTACCTACCCCTACCTCACTGCTGTGTAGAATTCTCTCAGACTAGTGTATCATGTGGGTTGGTCTAAGCTTTAACTGTTCCAATAACATCATAAGTAACATTTGCTTTATAGAGCTTTTCCGGTATATTGGGTTATTTCCTAAGGCTAGAGCAATGCTTCTCAAAGTATAGTTCCCAGACCAGTAGCATTCACATTATATTAGAATGCACTAGAAATGCAAATTCTCAGGCCCAACCCAAGATGCACTGAGGAAGCTCTGGGGGTGGGCTCAGCAATCTCTTTTTAAACAACCTCTTTCCTCCAGTATTGAGACCAACTGGATTCTAGTGTATTTGTTTTCTATTGCTGCCATGACAGTTCACTACAAATGTCACAACTTAAAGCAACATGCCTGTATTCCATATCCTTGTTTGCTCAGGATTTGGGCAGATTCAGTTCTTTATGGTTGTAGGACTGAGGTCCCTGTTTCCTTTCGGGATTTCAGCTAAAGGCCCTTTATGGCTTCTAGAGACTTCTGCATTCCCTGGCTTGGGGCCACTTCATCTTCAAAGCCAACAAGGGCAGGTCGTCCTTCTCATCTCTCCTGTCACACCTTCCCTTCCACTTTCAAGGGCTTGTGAAACTAAGTGGTTCCACCAGGATAACCTCCCTTATCCATGTTCACACCCTTAATCACATCTGCAGAGTCCCTTCTGCTATGTTCAGTAACACAAGTTCTAGAAATGAGGACATGGCTTTTGGAGGGCCAGTATTCTGCATATCCTAGCTGGAGATCCAAAGCTGATTATTAAGTCAAAAAGGTAAGATTTGTATGGCTCTTAGTACATATTGCCAAATTGCTATTTCCCTGGCTTTGTCAGACCAATGCCTAGCAGTATAGTATCAGTACATCTTCACCAGCATTTGGTTTTATGGGTTTTTGTTATGGTTGCTGATTAACAGTTGACAATTTTTCCTGACCATTTATTTTACATTTTAAAAATATTTTATTGATTTTTTTTTACAGAGAGGAAGGGAGAAGGGTAGAGAGCTAGAAACATCGATCAGCTGCCTCCTGCACACCCCTCATGGGATGTGACCACAACCAAGGTACATGCCCTTGACCAGAATCGAACCTGGGACTCCTCGGTCCACAGGTCGATGCTCTATCCACTGACAGCCAGGGCTGTTTTACATTTTTTTTTAAATATATTTTTATTGATTTTTTACAGAGATAAAGGGAGAGGAATAGAAAGTTAGAAACGTCGATGAGAGAGAAACATCGATTAGCTGCCTCCTGCACACCCCCCACCGGGGATGTGCCTGCAACAAAGGCACATGCCCTTGACTGGAATCGAACTCAGGACCCTTCAATCCGCAGGCCGACGTTCTATCCACTGAGCCAAATCGGTTTTGGCTATTTTACATTTTTAAAAAACATATTTTTATTGATTTCAGAGAGGAAGGAAGAGGGAGAAAGAGACAGATACATCAATGCTGAGAGAGAATTACTGATCGGCTGCCTCCTGCATGCCCCACCCTGGGGATCGAGCTTGCAACCCCGGGCATATGCCCTGACTGAGAATTGAACCCTGACCTCCTGGTTCATGGGTTGATGCTTAACCACTGAGCCACGCCAACCAGGCTTTTTGCATTTTTTTAGTTACTAGTAGGTTGAACATTTTTCCATGTATTTGTTTATTGTTTGGGGCATTTTGAGAAAAAAGAACATTGAGGGTCGTTAGCAGTAGTTATTTCCATATTTTATTTGGACTTCCACCTGGTGCGGGGTGCTGTCGGGGGTGTGGGGTGAGGGGTGGGAGTAAAGATATCACATGGGACCTCAGTCATCTTCAGTCTTATGGAGGGGAGAGAACCAGTACCACCAGACCATGGAAATAACAGCCACCAACTGAAACAGCCATCTCCACAGGCTGACTGATGGCCTGGAGATGGGACAGAGTGTCAGTCTGGCCCTTGGACAGGATGTTTTAACACTGGCCCTGACCCTTCCTGCACAGCTCTGCATGTCCCTCACCTTTGGTTCGAATCCAGGGCTTGGCTGAGAGTGCTGTCCTGCCCAGCTGGTCTAGGCCAGGCTGGCAGCCCCGTCCCAGCCGGTGCCCCGGCTTTACTCCGGCCTTGACTTTGCAGGTGGCCTGCTACAGCTGCACATCCGGGCAGTGGTCATCTGTCTGCCCACTGCCAGTGGGGCATGGTGAGCCTGGCATTGCTGTGCTGGACAACAGGATCTATGTGCTGGGCGGCCGCTCACACAACCGCAACAGCCGCACGGGCTACGTGCATATCTACGACGTGGAGAAGGACTGCTGGGAGGAGGGGCCCCAGCTGGACAACTCCATCTCGGGCCTGGCGGCCTGTGTGCTCACCCTGCCCCGCTCCCTGCTCCTGGAGCCGTCCCACGGGACCCCTGACCGCCAGGCCGACCCGGACTTCGCCTCGGAGGCGATGAGTGTATCTGACTGGGAGGAGTTTGACAACTCCAGCGAAGATTAGGGCTCTGGGGCTGGTGTCAGCAGGAAGGGAAGGGTGGCAGGAGGGCTGAGGGCCGCCCAGGCCAGAGCACTTTACCCCAGGGCATTGAGGCCCTTCTGCACCCTGCACCCCCAGCCAGCTGGCTCTTGCCACCCTCCCTTCACACCAGCCTATCTGCCTGCTTGCAGCAGGTCTTTGTGGGACTCTGTAGATCCTGGCTGTGGATCACCATGCAGGGAGAAGTGTCCGAGAAGCTCTGGTCCCCTGATGGGGTTTACCAGGCCTGCTGCTCCTCCGTTCCCACAGGGTGTGCCATCACCAGCTGTCTGGGCCTCCCTGGTTCTGATCCCTGCTGGGCTGAGAAGGTGTCCGCCAAAGGGATCTGTGCCCTGGCATCCAGTGAGGCAGCTGAGGTATATTGAGTCCCTTCTGTGGGCAGGGGTAGAGTAGGCCCCTCACCTACCCAGCAGCCGGGAGAGCAATTGAGAGCTCCCATGGACTGGAGAGGGAGCAGAGATGCATAAGGTTGCTTGAGACTGGTTCTAGTGATAAGAAGATCCCCTACACCTGGGCTTTTCTGACCCCATGTTGTTGATAAATGAAATAAATCGTCTTGGAAAGGGTATGACTTGTTCTTACAGCCATGGCCTCAATTTCTTTCACAACCTGTCCGAGGCTGCAGCACTGGGAAGCAGAGGTTCCCTCTGGGGTGAAAGTTACTGCTGGGAATGCCGCTCTGGGGTGGGCTTTGGCGGTGGGAGGCCAAAATCCTGTCTCAAAGGCGAGAGCACAGTACACTCACCAGCAGAAGGTGCTGCCTAGAAACCCGCCTCGACCGTGCAGGTGCTCACCTGGTCTGCTGGAGTGCCTTCTCTGAGGAGGCGCTCTTTGGGCAGTTGGCAATACTTGGGACCCAAATAAAGCTCATCCTGAGGTTCAGGCAGGGGCTCCAGCGCCAGGGAAGGGAGGCCCTGTTAGGATGGGCTCCTTCCCACTTCCTGGGTCCCAGAGTGTGGCAGAAGTGGGAAGCTGCACTTCTACAGGTTTGCCAGGTGAGCTAGCACAGCGGCTCCCTGGTGCAGTGGATGGACCTTTCTGGGCCACCAGCTTTGCCTCTGCTCATCAGAGCTTCCACCTGAACAGCCTCCTGCTTGTCGCAGGTTCTGCACCAGCAAACCCGCACTGCCCTGCGGAATCTGTGGCTTCCGAAGGCTCTATCCTCTCAGAGACCACTGAGCCTTCTGTGGCTTGCTTAGAGCCTGTTGCGACTAGCACCATGTCATGGATGGGAGGGGAGCAGAGAGGCAGAGTGAGCTACTTAATGGGAGGAAGGCATGTGGAGAGGAACAGGAAATCAGTTGCTTTGGGTTCTCCTTTTTGATTCTTTAAGGACTTTGGGGCGTGGGGGTTGCTGCCTGCTCCACAGGGCCATGCAAGTGACCTTCCTTGGTCTCCTGGGGGCTGGGTACTCCTGAGGAAATATGCCCCACTCCCTAACCCCATGTGACATCATACACCCCCACTTCAGGGTGGCAAGCTCAGTGTGACCCTGGTAGGTCACATCCAATGGGACAGACTGGCCACATTCTCCAGTGTCTTCTCCCCTGGTCCTGAGGGTGAATATGAGAACATGAGATCAGAGGAAGGACCCAGCACATCCTTTCTGCCTCCACCTTACAGGCCAGGCTAGCGGTTTCTGCAGACCCCAGAGGTTTCTGGGAAGGAGAGCTTTTCCCACCTGTTATCTTCAGTATGTCCCAAGCTTGGTGCTATCTCCCCACCCAGAGCCACAAGGCCTGGCCATAACTTTACAAGAGATCTCTGGTCTCAGGGGAGGTGAGGGGAGTCTTTGATGCTGTGAGCATGGGCTGGGGTAAGGGATCCTGAAAGCTGGGCAGCAGCCTGGCCCTGCCACTTAGCCATGGGGCCCACCCTGGCATTTGTGGCAACACCTCCCCCACCTCCTGCCCATGGGTCTCAGCAGCCCAGGCTCACGGGCCCTACATTCATGCCTTCGTTTGGTTTCTTGCTCATCCCTTTCTGCCTATAAAATCCTCACCCTTCAAAGCTGGCCACCTTCGGGAAGCCATCCTGGCCAGAACAGGTCAGCTTGGGCTCTAGCTGCCCACAGTTTGCCCATGTGATGGTCTGTGGGTACCAGGGTACCACAACTTTCTCATCCTGGCATTCACCTGCTACCAGGCCAGGCACATGGACCATCATTCATTCCACCCACACTTCTCAGTCTCAGATGGCTGTGTGGTGGTGTCCAGGACAGATACGGACCCTGCCTTCAACACCAGATTTTGCCGCCACGGCACACGCCTTGGGGGCTGTGGGTCTGAATGAGACAAGGCTGGGATGGTCCGTGTCCTGCAGGCAGCAGTGGGCAGCCAGATAGGAGATTAGGAAAACTACATGGCTGGTATATAGGTGGGTGAGGAGAGATCTGAGACATTCAGGAGTGGAGGCATTGTCCAGTGGTGGTCTTCACAGGTGGGAATTGGGCGGCGAGGAGCAGTTGTGGGGGAAGGGAAAGAAGGTGATGGAGTCTGAGGTGCCTGTTCGTGACTTCCATCCAGCTGGGGCGAGTGCTTCCAGCCCTGGGGTCTGTGCCTCTAAAGCAGGGAAGGGGGCGGGGCTGCCACAGGCTGCAGGAGGCGTCACTAACACCACACACACCTCTGCTGGCTCTATTGGTGGCAGCCAATGGGGATCTCCCTGGGAGGGGCCCTGGTACTGGGAGGACACTGCTGAGGTGAGGGTCATGTCCAGGAGGGACTGCCCAGAACTGGTTTGGCCGGTGTACTTGTCTCCCAAGAAGTGTTTGCATTTGTGATCGCAGTGGACTTCCCTTTCCAGTCCACCTGGCTGTTCCCAGCATAACCGAGTGAGGGGCCCGAACCTCAGAAGCCCCCTCCCCTGCTGCTTTCCATTCTGCTCTCTGCCAGCCTGTCCCAGACAGGCCCCTGGCTCAACCAGCCTGGTGTGTCCTCGGGCTTGGGCCTTTCGGTTGCCTCCTCCTCCAGTCCCACCTGCCACCTTGACAGGCCTCCACATACATAGCTAAGGAAAGACACCAACCCTCCCTCAGGGGCCTGCATCAGCCTGCTTCCCAAGAGAAGGCAGCTCTCTCCCTGCTAACTCCTAAGTCCTCAAAATACATGATTACCTTTTTAAAAAAATATATATATTTTATTGATTTTCCACAGAAAGGGAGAGGGATAGAGAGCTAGAAATGTCAATGAGAGAGAAACATTGACCAGCTGCCTCCTGCACACCCTCTACCGGGGATGTGCCCACAACCAAGGTACATGCCCTTGACGGAATCGAACCTGGGACCTTTCAGTCCGCAGGCCAACGCTCTATCCACTGAGCCAAACTGGTTTCAGCACACATGATCACCTTTACTGGGACCTGGCTGCTCCCCTTGTTCCATCCCCAGACCTGCCTGCCTACCCTGCTCTATGGGCCCTGGGCATGGACCTGTCATCCCCCAAAGCGCCAGGCACCCCTCTACTTCCCAGACCCAGTTTCTCTTCCTTGCAGTCACCCTAGGCCCTGTTCCTCTTTTTTTTAATTTCTTTATTGATTATAGTATCACATAATTGTCCTCATCCCCCCATTCTCATCCCAAACCCCTCCCCAACGTATGCTCCCACCCCCCTGTTGTCTATGACCACTGGTTAGGCTTATATGCATGCACACAAATCCTTTGGTTGATCTCTTCCTCTTTACCCCTCCCTCTCCTACCTTCCCTCTGAGGTTGGACATCTGATCAATGCTTCCCTGTCTCTGGGTCTGTTTATGTTGTTCATTATTTCCTCTAGATGCTTGAGATCATGGGATCCAAGAAATACCCTTATAAAAATGGAAAATGAGACAAGCCATAATGGTTAAGCTGAGAGGCAAATGAATCAGTCTGTAGTGAGTTCCTTTCTGGCCCTGTTCCCCTTAATCTTGTTCCCCTTCTTCCTTCCTTGCTGCCCCTGCTCTGCTCTGTGCTGTCACCCCTGCTCTCCTGATGCAGGAGTCCTCTCCAGCCGTGGCCACCCCTGCACTTTTCCCTCTGATCCAGCAGCCTTCTCAAGCAGCATCATCCTCCCAGGTTCCCTAGACCCTTTCAGCCCATGACAAGGATTGCAGGGTCTCTGTCCCGGAGCCCTTCCACCTGCTTCCTCTGCCTTTCCCCCACATTCTGCTGGAGCCCATGGCTGGGCCATTCTATCTCCCTGCCGTCTCTCCAATTCACCCCTACGAGAACGTCCAGCCCCACCTCTACCCCCACCCCAGGCCTCTGGTCCAGACCAAGTCTATCCACAGGCCTCCAGCATCCTGCTCCGTCCACTGCAGGTTTTGCATCGAGTGTGCAGAAGAAGCTGACCACCCAGCTGGACACCCCAGGGCTGGGGAAGTGAGGGGGGCAGTGTAGCAGAAGCGGGCTTGCAGCCTTGACCCGGGCTGTCTGTGGGACACCTCCCATTCGAGACGCTGGGGACAAGGGGCACTTCGGTGCTGCGTCGCGCTCTTGTCCCCCAGCTCCCTTCCTGCCCCGGGCCGGCCGCGCAGTCTTCTCAAGGTCTGGGGAGGAAAGGGAAATAACGGGGCGACCAAAGGCTCCTCGGGTGTGCCCCCGTGCCCCCTCCTCCCCCCACCGACGCTCGGCTGGCCTCCAAGTTCGCCCCAAGTTTGAGAGCGGCCGCGTGGGGGCGGGGGCCGCGCGCAGGGGCGGGGGCGCGGCCGGAGGGTGGGGTCTGGCGCGCGGGGCGGGCGCTGCCGCCTGGCCGGCCGCGGCTGGCCCGGGATCAGGGAGCCGATGTGGAATTTCCTGCCCGGCCCGGCGCCCCTCCTGCCGCCCCCCGCCCGGCCACGCACTCCGCTTCCGGCCGCTCTCGCTGCGGCCGCACCCGCGCCCGCGCCCGCCCCGCGCCTGCCCCGCGCCGCATGGAGGGCGCAGGGTCCCGGGGGGCCGGGCCGGCGCGGCGCCGGGGAGCCGGGGGGCCGCTGCCGCCGCCGCTGCTGCCGCTGCTGCTGCTGCTCTGGCTGCTGCCCGGCCCCGCGGCGCCCGAGGAGCTGAACCCGCGCGGCCGCAACGTGTGCCGTGCGCCCGGGTAGGAGCCGGCCTGGCGGGGGAGGGAGGCCGCGGAGGACGCGCGGGGCCGCGGAGAGGGGCTGCCCGGCCTGGGGGAGGGTGGCATCCGGGACCTCCCTGCGCCGGCCCCTCCGGCCAGCCACCCTCGCCGACGCCGGCTCCGCTCCAGGCCGAGCCTGGGCGCCGCGCCACGACGGAGCATCCGAGGGGACCCCCCCCCCCGCCCGGCGAGAAGCCGGCGGAGGGGAGACCCGGGTGCCGTGGGCGCCGGGAGCGGGGACCCCGGGGTCCGAGCTCTCAGACCCGGGGAAAGGGAGCCTTGGGCGGGGTCTGAGGCCGGAGGGAGAAGCCGGGGAAAGGCATTCGGGCGGACGGACTGGTATGTGCAAAGGCCCGCGGCGGCGGGATGTGTGAGGCGGGTTAGGAGGGAGGATGGGGGTCGGGCCGCTGGAGCCGGAGGCCTGGGGGGGGGCCGGTCCGGTGTGTTTCTTGGAAAGAGCGGGCGCGGCGGGAGAGGGCGGGGATGGAGGTGAGCGCCGAGGAGCCTGTGAACCCGACGCGGGAGTGGAAAGGACAATGACGGGTACCGGGTCCGAGGACGTGAAACTCCCGGGAGGGGAAGCCGGTGTGGGGCCGTCCCGGAGGGCGGACATCAGAGGGCGGGCGGCTGGGACCCGGCACGAGAGTCGGAGGACCTGGTCGGCCCGCCGGCGGCCAAGGCGAGGTCAGGGCATCTCCGCTCCGGGGCCGGAGCCGGCGGGCGGGGAGGAGCCGGCGGGCGGGCAGCTGCCGGGGCCGCGGCGGGGCTCCCAGCGGGTCCCGTCGGGGCGCCCCGGGCCGCAGCGCGCTGGGAGGCCGCGTCCGGGGGCTCGGCCGGCGCCCCAGACAAGGGGCTGCGAGGGGCCGCGCGGGGTTTCCGAGCTCGGATCCCGGGGCGCGCAGACCCCTCCCCGCCGCGAGCTCCGCCTCCGGGGCGGGGGCCGCCGGGCCCGCCATCTGCTTCGCATCGACGCCGACACAGCCTCCCGGGCCTTCCCGGCCCCAGGAATGCGGCGGCGGCGGCGGCGGCGGGCGGGGCCGGCCTGGAGGGGGGAGGGCGGGTCGCTGCCTCCCGGCCTCAGCTGTTCCTCCCCGGGGGTCGGTGCTGGGGAGCCGGTGGCCGCAGGAGCTGTCAGAAGCCTGAGCCCTTCGCCCCCACTCCCCGCAGCCCACAGCCCGGAGACTTCCCCATTGGGCGGCCTTTTCTTTTTTTTCCTTTTCCTTTTAATATATTTTATTGATTTTTTACAGAGAGGATGGGAAAGGGATAGCTGCCTCCTGCACACCCCCCACTGGGGATGTGCCCGCAACCAAGGTACATGCCCTTGACTGGAATCGAACCTGGGACCCTTCAGTCCTCAGGCCGACGCTCTATCCACTGAGCCAAACCGGCCTTTTCTACTAGTCAAGAGCTCGGGTTAGGGCTTCGAATCCTTTTGCTCCCTCTCCCGCTGCGTTTGCCCTGGGCAAATCCCTTCACCTCTCAGGGCCTCCTCCTGCAGGGGAGGGGTGACTCCAGTCATGGGTGGGGCTGCCCTCCCTGCACTGGGCTCTTTTTCTGTTACTCTCCCACCAGCAGTTCCCTTTCCCCAGGGGTCGGAGGACCAGGGCGGGGAGCGAACAGCCAGTAAAACCCACGTCCCCCCTGTGTGCCAGGCCTGTGGCTGGCGCAGGGACGCCGCAGGGGAGACACACACCCTTGCCCCGGTGGTGGAGGGAGCTTACAGCAAATCCTGGGCCACCTAGCAAGTGCTAGACGGTGTTGCGCTGGGGAGTGCTGTTTCCCTGGGAGCCCCAGAGGCCCACGGAAGAGGAGGCAGTGCCTGCTGGAGGACCCTGGGGGCTGGGCAGAGCCTGGGAGGGGGATGGTGGTGGAGAGGCCGGAGTAAGGGTGGCCGACCACAGTGGGGTCTGCCCGCAGCACGGTCTGCCCACAGCGGGGTCTGCCCACAGCACGGTCTGCCCACAGCACGGTCTGCCCACTGCTCTAAGGACGTGAGTGTTTTGAGGGCCATCGAGCTCCCCTGGAGCTTTGTACAGAGGAGGGCTTGCATCTGACAAGGGTTGACTCTCAGGTGGCAGAGGAACTAGGGGCGGGAGGGGGGGGGGCAGAAAGTGGGGCCATTTAGGGGATCAGGAAAAATCAGGATTGTCAGTCCACTCCCTTTCTATGACAATCGTCAGGGGGAAAGGGGTGTGAGGGGTGCAGGAAGAGATCGGACAAAAATCTTACACCTATGGATGAAGACAGTAGCAGGGGTAAGGGCATGGGGTGGGGTGGGGAATCAGGTGGAGGGGAGCTATGAAGGGGGGAGGAGAGGAACACCTGTAATAACCTGAACAATAAAGATTTATTATAAAAAATAAATGGGGGGAAAAAATCAGGGAGAGCCAGGTTGGTCCTTCCAGGGCCGGGCAGAGCAGGGGAGCAGTGGCCTGTGCCATCCTAGACCAGTGTGAGGGGTAGAGCCAGTGGATGGGGTGTGTGAGAGCCGGAGAGTCAGGGACTCCGCCTCCCAGCCTGCAAGGACCGGGCTCCCCTGGGCGGCTGGGGAGGTGGGCCCCCTGGAGGGCTCCAGGCTTGGATTGCCCACATGTAGAGGGGACCCGTGAGCCTCCAGAGAGGAGAGAGCCTGGGGGCGGGGAAGCCAGAGGAGGGTGTCCCAGGGGGCAGAGGAGAGGCAACTGGTGTGGGAGCCTGAAGCCCGTTCAGCATGGGCTGGGAGCGAGCTGCAGTTTTGGCTGAGCTCTTAGTTTGTGCTTGAGACATCTTGGTTTAATCTTCCTGCCAAAGCCATGGGCTCCGGATAAGGAGCCTGAAGCTCAGAGAGGTTAAGTTCTGTGTCCTAGGTCACTTAGCAAGTGGCAGATGCAGGCACCAAATCCAGCTTACTGGGGCCCTAAAACGGGCTCTTTTATTTAAAAAAAAAAAAAAAAAAATTAAGCCAAAACCTGTTTGGCTCAGTAGATAGAGCATTGGCCTGCAGACTGAGGGGTCCCATGTTCGATTCTGGTCAAGGGCATGTGCCTTGGTTGAGGGCACATCCAAGGTGCGGGGGGGGGGGGGGGGGGCGCAGTGTGTGTGTGTGTGCAGGAGGCAGCTGGTCGATGTTTCTCTCTCATTGATGTTTCTGGCTCTATCCTTCTCCCTTCCTCTCTCTGTAAAAAATCAATAACATATATTTTTAAAATGTTAAGTATGTTTTATTGATTTTTTTTTTTTTTTTTTTGCAGAGAAGATAGGAGAGGGATAGAGAGTTAGAAACACTGATGAGAGAGAAACATCGATCAGCTGCCTCCTGCACACTCCCCACTGGGAATATGCCCGCAACCAAGGTACATGCCCTTGAGCAGAATCGAACCTGGGACCCTTCAGTCCACAGACCAACGCTCTATCCACTGAGCCAAACCGGTTAGCGCCTAAAACGAGCTCTTACCCACAGAATCATGTGGGCAGGCAGAAGGGGGTCGGCGCTCCCAGGACCATTCCAGCAGGCCCTCTGGCAAGGCTCTCCTCCAGGGACTTGGGCTCAGCACTGGCAGGAAAGGCCGAGGGTGATGGGCCTACTGTTGATGGGCTCTGGGAGCCCCGGGGCAGGCCTGGGGGGCGGGCAGGGAATGGGGGCTGGAGAAGCCAGGCCTTTGTGTTCCCTGTGTCCAGTACCCAGTTCAATTTGTGGAAAAGAAGCTGAGCCCCCTTCCTCCACTTTGAGGTGTTTTGTTTGTTGTTTTTAAAAAAATATATATTTTATTGATATTTTTACAGAAAGGAAGGGAGAGGGTTAGAGAGTTAGAAACATCGACCAGCCGAAACCGGTTTGGCTCAGTAGATAGAGTGTCGGCCCATGGACAAAAGGGTCCCAGGTTCGATTCCGGTCAGGGGCATGTACATTGGTTGTGGGCACATCCCTGGGTGGGGGGTGTGCAGGAGGCAGCTGATCGATGTTTCTAGCTCTCTATCCTTCTCCCTTCCTCTCTGTAAAAAATCAATAAAATATATATTAAAAAAAAGAAGAAAGAAAAAGAAAAAGAAACATCAACCAGCTGCTTCCTGTACACCTCCTACTGGGGATGTGCCCGCAATCAAGGTACATGCCCTTGACTGGAATCGAATCTGGGACCTTACAGTCTGCAGGCCGACGCTCTATCCACTGAGCCAAACCGGTTACGGCAACTTTGAAGTTTTTATGGATCCTGTTCCCAGGTCCTACGTCTTGGGCCTGAGGGAGAATCGAGTTATTTTGTGGGGGGATGCTCACGGCCCCCTCCAAGTGCCCTAGAACATCCTGGGGACGTAGGGCATCTTCTGAGGGGTGTGCTGTGGGGCAGCCTTTCCCTTCCCAGCCTGGACCCCTCACCCAGGGTCCTGGGGCCCCTCCCAACCTCTTCCCATCCAGGTTCATATCCTTCGGAGAAGCGCATGCCTTTTCTCTAACATGTGGATGGCTGCTGTGTGCCTTTAGGATTTGGATGAAATTCTTCTAGGTTCCTGGGGGCCCAATGAACCTGCGTCTGAGCGTCTGTTCCTTCTCAGCCTCCTTTGCCCCCCAAATGTGGGCACACCACATCTCAGCCTCCAAACCTTCATGCCAACACACCCCATCAGAGTTTTGGACGCTGTACTACCCTGAAACGTGACAGTTCTAAAGTATTTGCCTCCCACTGAGGTGACTTGTACCTTGTAAAGCCAAATAAAATTAAACAAGATTTTAAAAACATGTTAAGTAGGTGCTTTACTATCTCCTTCCTGCACCTCAGCTCTTGCCTTGGAGACCTCCCCGTCTCACCTCCCTTGCTCATGGGGAGAACCCCCCGCTGTGCCCTGCCCCTCTAGGAGGCACCCCCATTGAGTGGATGCCTCACTGTCTACCCACCTCACCCAGAGGCTGCACATCTGCCTTGGCATTTCAGAATGCCACACTTGAGCAGGTCCTGGAGGCCAAGGGACCTCTCCCCAGCCCCTACATCACTGCTGCCCCTCCTGAGACAGGCACCTGAGGTCTCTCTCAGGCCCAGGGGCCGGGGGAGGAGGGTACAGAGAATTGGGTGGGATGGGGAGACTCTGTAGACTGCAGTGATTCTCAACCTTTTTTTTTTTTTTAATATATTTTATTGATTTTTCACAGAGAGGGATAGAGAGTTAGAAACATCGATGAGAGAATCATCGACCACCTGCCTCCTGCACACCTCCCTCTAGGGATGTGCCCGCAACCAAGGTACATGCCCTTGACCAGAATCGAACCTGGGACCCTTCAATCCTCAGGCAGACGCTCTATCCACTGAGCCAAATCGGTTTCGGCGATTCTCAACCTTTTTAATGCCAAGACCTTTTAATACAGCTCATTTTCGTTGCTACTTCCTAACTGTAATTTGGCTACTGTTCTGTGAAAGATGAAGCGGAGGGGCCGGAGACCGGGATGCCAGGACACAAACTTTATTGGTGGAGAAGACCCCTGCCCGGCTACCTTCCAAGGAGAGAGCACATGTGCCGGGGTGAACACGCCTTTTGAGGGGAGGAAAGAGAAGGGACGGGGCTTAGGGCACTCAGCACAGGCTGATTGGTGGTTTCATGGAAGGCACATGATTAGGGACTTAGGAATTGGGGTCTTAGGGTATTCGGCAGGTGCTGATTGGCAGCTCAATGTACAGTCCGTATAAGGTGCCTGGTTAGGTGCTCAGGAATGTCCGGCTGCAGGTGGAGCTTACATCATTCTCTGTCCATCAGTTGGAGAAAGGGAGGATCTATCGTTATGAATCATAATGTCAATATCTGTGTTTTCCGATGGTCTTAGGCGACCCTGCTAGCGGTTCTCAACCTGTGGGTGGTAGAGAGAACTGGGAAGTTGTTACCCTGTTTCCCAAAAATAAGACGGTGTCTTATATTAATTTTTTCTCCCTAAGTTGCGCTAGGTCTTATTTTCAGGGGATGTCTTATCTTTCCATGCGCTAGGTCTTATTTTCCGAGGATGTCTTATTTTCGGGGAAACACGGTAGAAGCTAGGTCTATGGGTGGTCTGTTCTCTGCACCTCCCGGCGTCATACGCTTGGAGGGCTGGAATTTGTGTGTCTCATTCGCTGCTGCTCTCCCAAACGTACACTAGTCCCTGGCCCCAGTACACAGCAGGGCCAGACACCGTCCCTGCCCCCGCCCCCCCCCACCCCCGGCAGAGCGGAGGTTGCAGGGAAGCCCCTGCCAGGATGGGGACTGGGGCTCAGGCTCCTCTCTCTGCCCACAGCTCCCAGGAGCCCGTGTGCTGTGCCGGCTGGAAGCAGCAGGGGGACGAGTGTGGGATCGGTGAGTGGGACATCCTGGGGACCTGGGCGGTGGGGGGTAAGGTGTGTGGGTACGGAGCAGCGGAGAGATAGTGTGGGGGCTGGACGCAGAGCTGAGCTCAGGGCCCCCTCTTGTCCGCAGCGGTGTGCGAAGGCAACTCCACGTGTTCGGAGAACGAGGTGTGCGTGCGGCCGGGCGAGTGCCGCTGCCGCCATGGCTACTTCGGTGCCAACTGCGACACCAGTGAGCGCGGGGTGGGGGTGGAGGGGCCGTGGGGCGGGAGTCTAGGGAGGGGGCGTGGTCTGTGAGTGCGGTGGGCGTGGCCTGCGAGTGGGTGGCGCCTGATCCGGGAACCCGATCCAGCGTGAGAGCCGGTTCCCCGAAGCCGCGGGGGTGGGGAGTCGGGGTTGGGGGCGGGAGGAGGGGGACTTTGGCAGGTTCAGGGAGGGCCCCAGGCCCCCTCCAGAGTGCCGGGGCCTTGCCACTCTCCCCGCTCCTCCCCGCAGAGTGCCCGCGCCAGTTCTGGGGGCCCGACTGCAAGGAGCTGTGCGTCTGCCACCCGCACGGGCAGTGCGAGGACGTGACCGGCCAGTGCACGTGCCACGCGCGGCGCTGGGGGGCGCGCTGCGAGCACGCGTGCCAGTGCCAGCACGGCGCGTGCCACCCGCGGAGCGGCGCGTGCCGCTGCGAGCCGGGCTGGTGGGGCGCGCAGTGCTCCAGCGCCTGCTACTGCAGCGCCACGTCGCGCTGCGACCCGCAGACGGGCGCGTGCCTGTGCCACGCCGGCTGGTGGGGCCGCAGCTGCAACAACCAGTGCGCCTGCAACGCGTCCCCCTGCGAGCAGCAGAGCGGCCGCTGCCAGTGCCGCGAGCGGACGTTCGGCGCGCGCTGCGAGCGCTACTGCCAGTGCTTCCGCGGCCGCTGCAGCCCCGTGGACGGCACGTGCGCCTGCGAGCCGGGCTTCCGCGGCAAGTACTGCCGGGAGACGTGCCCCGCCGGCTCCTACGGCCTGGGCTGCCGCCGCAGGTGGGCGCAGGCCCGGCCGGGAGGGAAGGAGGAGGGGAGGGGAGGGGAGGGGAGGGGATGGGGAGGAGGGCAGGCCGCCATAGGAGGCCGGGTTAGATGGCTCAGGGCCCCGCCTAGCCTCCCGCCCCTTCCTGCCCCTCCCCTAGATGCGGGCAGTGCAAGGACCAGCAGCCGTGCACGGTGACGGACGGCCGCTGCGTGACCTGCGAGCCCGGCTGGAACGGCACCAAGTGCGACCAGCCTTGCGCCGCCGGCTTCTACGGCGAGGGCTGCAGCCACCGCTGCCCGCCGTGCCGCGACGGCCACGCCTGCAACCACGTCACCGGCAAGTGCACGCGCTGCAACGCGGGCTGGATCGGCGACCGGTGAGCACCCGGTGCCGGTGCCCTAACGGGTCCCGGTCCCACGGCCCCACAGCCCCGCCTCCCCCGAGGCCCTTTGTGGGGGGCATGGTGGGCTTGGGTTCGTTCGCCCCCATTTCCACTAACCCTCCCTCCTCCCCGCGTTTGGAGGTGCGAGAACAAGTGCAGCAATGGCACGTACGGCGAGGACTGCGCGTTCGTGTGCGTGGACTGCGGCAGCGGCCACTGCGACTTCCAGTCCGGGCGCTGCCTGTGTAGCCCCGGTGTCCACGGGCCCCAGTGAGTGCCGGTACCCGAAGGGGGCGGGGTGTGAGCCCCCCACAGGGCTCCAGCCAGACGCCCAGGGGACCAAGGCTTGACCCTTCAACGTTGGCCCCCTTACCTCAGCTAAGGAATGCCCACAGGCGCTTTGAATCCGACGTCCAGTTCGGCCTGTGGCCAGTGGGCTCCTCCGGTGAACCTGAGCTGGTGAAGAGCGAGCAGGGACCCCCACTTTCCGCCAACGGCCTGATGGGGCAGCCCCTTTCCCATACACATAGGAGTCAGTGTCAGGGATGGGCGCTGCGGCCCGGTGGCCACTGGCCGGTCCGCCAGGCCCTATCCCACTGGTGTGCACACACCTTCATTTATAAAACACGGGCTGCGGACTATGTGCTCGGTAGTGGCGGTGGGTATCGGTTCCTAGAGAACAGGCCTCCAGGAGAGGAGCTTAGCTTGCCGCAGGAGCCAGGGCGGGAGGCATCGCGGAGGGTCGCAGCGGCCCCTCCCTGAACCTGCGCCTCCGTCCCAGCTGTAACCTGACGTGCCCGCCCGGGCTGCACGGGGTGGATTGCGCCCAGGCCTGCAGCTGCCATGAGGACTCGTGCGACCCAGTCACTGGTGCCTGCCGCCTGGGTGAGTGGGTGAGCGGGGCGTCAGGTCGTGAGGAGTGCTGGCTGGCGGGGGGTCGGGGTGGAGAGGTGGCTGGCACCCTACTAATCCTAACACCCGACAGAGACCAACCAGCGCAAGGGAGTGATGGGCGCGGGCGCGCTGCTCGCCCTGCTCCTGGGTCTGCTGCTCTCGCTACTGGGCTGTTGCTGCGCCTGCCGTGGCAAGGACCCCGCGCACCGGTGAGGCCCGCGCACAGGGGAGGCCCGTGCGGCCCGGCTCTCTCTGGACGCACCCACCCTGTTGGTCGCGCTGCGGGACCTTTCCCTACGCATCAGTCCCCGCCCTCCCGCCCTGGCCCCGCCCCGACCCCGCCCCCTCCTTGGCCCAGGCCCCACCCCTTATGTCCCTCGGAGAACGAGCCTCCCTCCAAGCCCGCCCCCAGCTTAGGCTCCGCCCCCGCCCCGCCCCGCAGGGAGCTGTCGCTGGGGAGGAAGAAGCCGCCAAAACGACTGTGCGGGCGCTTCAGCCGCATCAGCATGAAGCTGCCCCGGATCCCGCTCCGCAGGCAGAAGCTGCCCAAGGTCGTAGGTAAAGACGCCCGCACGAGGTCTCTGGGGGAACAAGAGGCTGCTGGGAAATGGGTGTGAAGGTGTCGGCGTGGGGACATGCTGGGCCCCAATGTTGTGGATGTGGGTGGGCGTGGGGGAGGTGCGGCCGAAGAGAAGGAAAAGGGGATGATGATGTGCGCGAGCCCGGGGAGGCAGAAGGCAGGAGGCCTCGGTGTGCAGGCAGCTGTGGGAGGCTTTGGGCCCTGACTGAGTGCTTGCATCTGGGGTGCCTTGAGGGTGTGTGGACATCTGGGTGGGACAGCACCTCCCCCCAACTCCCCAGTTTGTAGGAGCATAAGTTGATGTGTTCACCTGGAGTTGGGGCACCTGTGCAAGGGAATTGCTGGCACCAGTTGGCAGGAGGGGGATCCTGCTTGGACCCCCTGCAGTGCCCTGGGTCCTTTCTGGAACCCTCTGCCCTGCCAAAGGGCCCTGGGTGAGGGGTTCTGCTTCTATTGTCACTCTGCCGGTTAAATCGCCTGCGCCACCCACAGGAGGGTAGGGCTGGTGCTCCATCATTTGTGGCCGGAGGGCTGTGGAGGGCACAGGCTCACAGGCAGGGCAGGCCCCCTGGCAGCCGTCCGTGCCTCCCTCTCTCCCTAGTGGCCCACCACGACCTGGATAACACGCTCAACTGCAGCTTCCTGGAGCCACCCTCCGGGCTGGAGCAGCCCTCCCCGTCCTGGTCTTCCCGGGCCTCCTTCTCCTCCTTCGACACCACTGACGAAGGCCCTGTGTACTGCGTGCCCCACGAGGGTGAGCCCCGCGCTGCCTAAGCCTCCCTCAGCCCAGGGAATGTCCCAGCTTAGGAGAGCGCTGTGCTCCGGGTGCAGGCGGCATGGAGAGGAGTGGGGACGCTGTTCACTGGGGGCTGGACTCACAGGGGCTGCCGCAGAGCGGGTTCCGTGCTGCCCTGCACTGAGCTGAGGCGGGGTCTGGGGAGATGGGTGGCTCTCCTCTAACCGCACCCAGATTCACTTCTGGGGGGGTGGGGGGGAAGAGAGCAGGTAGAAAGAAGGTTCTGCGCCTGAGTAGGAGGAGTTGAAGGAGGGCAGGTCTACAAAATATGGGCACACACTTTTGTCCACAAGCAGCAGGAAGGAGCCCGACTGGCTGAGTTTCTGGCTTCTTTCCTACCCTGACTACCCACCTGGGTGACCTTGGGCAGGTGACTAATCTGAGCCATAGAAGCCTTCTCTCTTTAAAAAAAAAAAAAAAAAAATATATATATATATATATATATATATATATATATATATATATATTATTGATTTTTTTACAGAGAGGGAGAGAAAGAGAGAGAGAGAGAGAAAGAGAGAGAGAGAGAGAGAGAGAGAGAGAGAGAGAGAGAGAGAGAGAGAGAGAGAGAGTTAGAAACATCAATGAGCTGCCTCCTGCACACCCCCCACTGGGGATGTGCCTGCAACCAAGGTACATGCCCTTGACCGGAATCAAACCTGGGACCTTTCAGTCCGCAGGCCAACGCTCTATCCACTGAGCGAAACCGGTTCTATTCTAAAGGAGACGTAATCCCTTTGCAGGTGCTAAAGGGTTACATTTGTTGCTGGTGGGCGGCCTCCAGGCAAGGGGTATGGGGACGGCATGGGGCGGGGGGCGGGGTGCGGCGGGGTGGAGGCCAAGGCCAGGCTGATGTTGGATGGAGCTTTAGCTGGGAAGGTGCTTTTCACACCCACCCACCCACCCACCCCCAGAGCACTCAGCCACAGCTCGGGGGCTAAGAACTAGATTTGAGGTTAGCGCTTTGGATGCCAGGACGATGCCCCTGCGAGGGCCTGGAGGCTGGATGGCTCGGGCACTGTTTCTGTTTGCGGTGACAGCCCCGCTCCTTCTCTGTCAGAGGCGGCAACCGAGAGCCGAGACCGAGAAGTCCCCGCCGCCCCAGCGGAGGCCCCCGCGCCCGCGACCACCCCGGCGGCGCCAGCGGAGGAGGCGCCCCTGCCCGCGTCCTCCGACAGCGAGCGGTCCGCGTCCAGCGCGGAGGGGCCGGGCGGGGCGCTGTACGCGTGCGTGGCCCGGCGCGAGGCCCGGCCGGCCCGGGCCCGGGGCGAGGCGGGGGGCCTGTCGCTCTCGCCGTCGCCGGAGCGCAGGAAGCCGCCGCCGCCGGACCCCGCCACCAAGCCCAAGGTGTCCTGGATTCACGGCGGCAAGCCAGGCGCTGCCCGCGCGCCTTCGCCGCCATCCCTGGGCCTCGAGGTGGCGCCCAGCCCCAGCAAGCGGAAACGGACACCCAGCGACACCTCGGCGGCGCGGCCCGAAGAGCCGGGCAGCTCCCGGACCCAGGACCCGGCGGCGCCGCGGCCCCCAGGGCTGGCCGAAGAGGAGCCGGCCCTGGCCGCCGCCGCCGCGCCCTCCCCGCCCCGGGCCCGGGCGCGGGGCCGCGGGCCTGGCCTCGCCGAGCCCACGGACGCCGGTGGCCCCCCGCGCAGCGCGCCCGAGGCCGCCTCCATGCTGGCCGCCGAGCTGCGCGACAAGACTCGCAGCCTGGGCCGCGCCGAGGGCGCCCCGGGCACGCCCGGCCCCCGCGAGAAGCCGGCGCCGCCGCAGAAGGCCAAGCGCTCGGTGCTGCCGGCCTCGCCGCCGGTCCTCACGCCCCCGGCGCCCGAGGCCCCGGGGCCCGAGAAGGCGGCGGCGGCGGTGGCGGCCGGCTCACCCCTGCCCGACACCCCCCGGAAGAGGACCCCCATCCAGAAGCCGCCGCGCAAGAAGAGCCGGGAAGCGGCGGGCGAGCTGGGCAGGGCGGGCGCGCCCACCCTGTAGCCGGCGGCCGCGCCCGCAGCTTCGCCCGGCGGCTTCGCAGCGCAGCTTGCCGCCCAGCCAGTGCTCCGCGACCTCCTAGGGGCACAGGCCTCGCGGGGGTGCGGGGTCCCGCCCCCAAGTCCTGAAGGGATCGCGCGTCTCATTGGCTCAGGCCCCAGCGGCGGCTCGCTCCCATTGGTCCAGGCCTGTCTGGCGCTTAGCTGAGCTCCCTTCGCATTGGCCGAGCTTTGTAGGGTCAGGCCCGCCGGGGTCTCAAAGGCCCGGACGGGAGGGTTCTGCCCGGAGACCGCCTCTCACCGGGCCGGGCCTGCCTGCTCCTTGGCCGCGGCCAGAGCACTCTGCCCGGTCCGCCTCTCACCGCCAGGGCCTGGCGCCTCTGGCTGGAGTCCCCTTTCCTGCCTCGCAGCCCCAGGCCCTTTCCCCTGGGGGGCATCAGGGTCTCTGGTTGGCCTGAGCCTGGGGAGGAGGGCTGGCCTCTGCTCCTCAGGAGGCTCAGCACCCAGGGCCCGATCCTCCCTACCTTCCCCTCTCCTGCGTCCGCCGCCCCAGCCTTCCCAGCCCGGGCCCCTCGGCCGTCAGCTGGTTTTGATGGCCTCCCCGCCACGCCTCCCGCTGGTGGGGATCCCAGGGGCGCTCCAGTAGCCTGAGGAGGAGACATATTTATAGGCCCCCAGCAGGGCTGCTCCCGCCTCATCCGGGTGCCCCAGGATGGGCTCCTCCCGGCAGGGGCTTGGCCAAAGCTTTCTTAATAAAGTGCCTTTCCCCCCCCTCTGAGCTCTGACTACTTCCTGTCTGCGGAGTCTAGCACGAGGCTGTCGCCAAGCTGGCACTCACACCCTCAGGGCCCCTACCCTGAGCAGAGCCTGGGAGGCTAGGGATGGGTCTCCTGGGACCACGTTGGAAGCCAGGTCGTGTGCATCTGCCCATCATTCATGTATCGCTTTAATTTCCCACCTACCCACCTTGGCCCTCCCCATCCTCCCAGGATGACCAGTGGGTCAGAACCAATCAGGTGGAGGATAAGGAATGGGTGTGCGGGGCTGCCTCTGACCTGGCCTGACCTGCGTGTTCCCCTCTGGCCACTGTTGTTACCCTTGGGGGCTCCGAGCTGTTTGGTGTGGCTGGGTCAGGTCAGAGGCCGGGGCCAGGGGGCAGTGGGCCACGGACACAGCCTCCAGCCCGGCCTCATCTGGCACAAACACGGCTGCCGGGCACTGCACAGAGCCCCGCTGTCCGCCTCAATGGGCTCCTTGTCCTCGGCCGGAAACTCTCACCGCCCGCCGCGCCGGTCCGAGGGTGTTGGGGGTAGAAGGAGGGAAGTGGGCCTGGCCCAGAGCCCTGGCGGGCCTCAAACACAGCCCCACTCCCACCCCCCTGACACACACACACACACACACACACACACTCTGGCCTGACCTCTCTTGCCACTTGTCTCCCAGTGTCTCCGCTGGCCTCCCAAGGGCCCTTCCAGAGCTACAGAACCTCATGTCTCTGTCCTCCATCGCTTTGGACTCCTGTCTCCCTGCCTCTGCCTATTGGGCCTCTTTCCCAGCCATTTGGATCAGGAGATTCTGTCAGGATTCTCCAGCCACCTCCCCTCCCCCTCCAACTCCCTCGCCCCGTGGACCGCAGCTCCACAGGAGTCTGACCAACGCTGACACCTCAGGGGTCTCACCTGGCAGCTCTCTCCGGCCTCTGGCTGGATACCACATTGGGGTCGCCTTCAGTGACCCAGACAGGGACCCAGCCACCTGCGTGGAGACAGCCTCATGCCATGGGTGGAGGGAGGGGAAGACGTGGCGGGGCCTGGCAGGGCTGGAATCCACACAGTCCCTGCTTCTGGCCTGATGAGGCAGCACAGGGGCTCCGTATCTCCGGGACACGCTGCTTCCCTCGGGCCAGCTGGGTGTCCTCCCAGCTCCGGCCCTGTGGCTGGCTGGCCTCTGATCCCTTTGGGCACCAGGCCATGCCGGCTGCTGGGGCTGAGAACTCAGGTTCAAAATCTGCCAGGGGGAGCAGATGACCAGCTGAACCTGAGGGCAGGGCAGTGACTGAGGGGGTGAGAGGGGTGGACAGTGCAGTGGTTCAAGCCACACACTTCCTGTAATCTGCTCCCCTAGTTAGCTCCACCTCTCCCCCCCACCCCCCCGCCTGGACCAGCAGTGGTCACATCAACCAGGCCTCTCCCGGGATCTCTCCTCTCCCCGTCCTGGGAGACTTCCAGGTGTTCCAGACCCCAGCCTTCAGGACCCCTCTGTGTGGCTGCCTCCCAGAAGAGGAGGGGCCCTTCCTGAACTTCCGGCTCCCAGCCCGTGCCCCTTGCCTCCCTGCAGGTCAGAGGCTGCGGCCTGGGGGCCAGGCAGGACCGAGGCTGAGAACCCCCCCCGCAGGTGGCCCTCTGGAGAAGGAGCTGCTGGGCCCTTCAGAACACACCCCCCCCCAATCCGACATGCGCTCCCTCCCCCCCGCGGGCCTGCAGCGGTGCCAGCTCCCAGGGCAGGCGCCACAAAAGGAACCGCGGCTGCTGGAACCTCCGTTGCCATGGGGACCAGGACCACAGGGCCCACATCTGGTAGCGATTGAGGAGGAAAAATTATGAGTCGTGGAAAACGCAAATATTTTTTGTAGCACAGAGCACAAAGGAGCGGGAGGAATGTGGGGCTGGAGAAGGCCTGAGCTCAGCCGGGTTCCAAACAGGAACGCAAGCACACACACACACACACACACACACACACACACACACACGGAGTTACACACACACACACACACACACACACACACACACTCACTCACACATACACTGCCAGACTCACAGAAATGCTGAGACACTAGCAACACAAAACAGACCCACAAAAACACGGAGATGATTTAAAGAAACACTGCCTCTCCAACACAAACACACAATCTACCACACACACACACACACACACATCGTGAAACTTTGTACTCTGCACACACACACACACACACACACACACACCAGATGAATCAAGCACTGGGAGAGACATGAACTACAACAAGCATACATGTACAGCCTCCCCATAGGAACACAAGAGGCATCATCACCCTGCAACACACACACACACACACACACACACACACACACACAGTCCAGATGATGTGCAGAACAGAAAAGACTCGCTTCACAATACACACTATGTTTTGTAGATACAGGAGAGATGCTTGTTGCAATGCACACACACACAGCCCCAAAACATCGAGAGGAAATCACATACACCCTCCATCGGTGGACATGCTGAGACCCCTACACTCATGCCACAAGACAAACAGAAACTCCGTGCAACACACATACACACCGCCAGATCCAGAGAGCCATGGGGCACATACCTTGTAAACAGCCACACCAAGAAACAGACACAGCCCACAACAAACAGAAACACAGGAACAGACAGACAGCCTGCAACAGCCACACAGCCCACCAGACCCAACTGAATGCGAGATGGGCCCTCGCTCTGAACACGCACGTGCATGGAGAGAAACAAAGAGATGCGTTCTGCACACTCACAGCCTGCCTCCACACACACACACACACACACACACACACACACACACGGTGGAAACACACAACCCACCAAGCACTCAGAAAATGGCGAGTTGAGATTCCCCTGAGCCCCACACGTATATTGGGGCACAGGAAAGGCAGCGATGGTGGGGAGACGCCCCCATTTTGCGCTCTGAGCAAGGCTGGGCCTGAAGGACCATTTTGCCCTCCCTCTTCCTCACGCTCCTTGTTTACCTGCCTCCTGAGAAACCCAACCCCTTCCTCTCCTGGCAGATGTTCCTCATTAGTGAGCCTTCTTCCTGTTGCTGTGGCCCGAATAACAGCACCGCCCCGGGTGCCGGCCACATTCCCCCCACAGTCCTGAGGCCCTGAGTGGTATGAATTGAACCTTGCCCCTGGGTCCCCATTCATTCCCTCCAGTGAGTGGGCCTCCTGACCGGCAAGCCTGAACCTCCGCTCCCCCGGGCAGCCCCCTCTGGTCCCGTGCTCTTGGCTCATGTTCATGGTTACACAGTTAGAAGTGGATTTTCGTTCTTTTTTTTGAGGACAAGTTGATTTCTGGTACCAGATTCTTTCCATTTCATGACCTGACGGCTTGGTCTTTTCCTCTGGTAGTCTTATCTATTTGTGTGTTTGTCTGTTTTGAACTTGAATCAATTAAGAGTTTAGCCAAAACCGGTTTGGCTCAGTGGATAGAGTGTCGGTCTGCGGACTGAGGGGTCCCAGGTTCGATTCCAGTTGGGGGCATGTACCTTGGTTGTGGGCACATCCCGGGTAGGGGGATGTGCAGAAGGCAGCTGATCCATGTCTCTCTCGTCGATGTTTCTGGCTCTCTGTCCTTCTCCCTTCCTCTCTGTAAATAAATTTTTTATTTAAAAAAAAAAAAAGAAAGAAAGAAGAGTTTATACCCACTGGGAAGACGAGTTGGAGATGTGGCCAGTGGATGGAAAGAGTAGTGCTTCCACAAAAGCTTCCTTGAGGTCCAGCGGAGAGGCTGTGATGAACGGGTGAGCGAGTGGTGCCTCTGACGTGTCCAACAATCCGTACACATAGGTGACGCTCATCCTGATGCTTGGCAATGCCTCCTTCGAGGACAGCAGTCCGTGGGTGGGGTTAGGAGAGCAGAGGTCTGGGAAGCAGAGAGCCAGACTTGAAAGTCAGGTGAGGCCGAGACCGGTTTGGCTCAATGGATAGAGCGTCGGCTTGGGGACTGAAGGGACCCGGGTTCGATTCCGGTCAAGGGCATGTACCTTGGTTGCGGACATATCCCCAGTAGGGGGTGTGCAAGAGGCAGCTGATCGATGACTCTCTCTCATCGATGTTTCTAGCTTTCTATCTCTCTCCCTTCCTCTCTGTACAAAATCAATAAAGTAAAAAAATTAAAATTAAAATTAAAAAAAGTCAGGTGAGGTTGGGGCCCACGAGGAGGAAGAGGAGGGGAAGTGGGAGAGGAAGGGAAAGTCTACAGTGGGCCATG